TTTTGATTTCTCTTTATCAAAATATAAATACCAAAGATGACACAGTGGGTCAGCTTTCTGACATTCACAGTAACAATTAAAGCATATCTGAGGTGAGACCAAGACACAGATCTCACATATGACTCATACAGCCTATCACACATGTCTAACATGTTTGAGTGTCCTTTAAAATAGTAAAACAATACAATCTCAGCATAGAAAGAGTTAATATAGTCCAAGCTAGTGTTAAAGAGAACAGGCTCTGGAATACTGGATTTGAACCTTGACTGTGCTTCTTGCTAACTGTATGACCTTGTTTCATTTATTTAACCTTTCCCCCAAAAAATGTCCTTTTCTGTAAAATGGAGATACTAATGTACAAACTTACCGAGAAGGTTAAGTAAAGCAATTCATTCAAGGATCACTCTAGCTGAGATGCTAAAATTAGATTGTAGAGGCTGGTGTGGTATTGGTAGAGAGGGCAAAGGTCAAAGCAGAATAGTTTCAAGGCTAATGTGATAATCCAGGCACAGATGATACTGCCTTGGACCAGAGGGGTAACTGTGGAGATAGTCAAAAGTGACTGGAGTCTGCCCTCATACACTTCTTTCCAGGTAAATATTTAATAAAATAGTTCCATGGCATTTTGATTGGAACTACATTGGGAATTTACAGATTACTACATTATATACCCAGTTAGAGAAGAATACCATGTGTCCACATTGGAACACTGGAAATCTACAGCAAACATCTCACTTAAGTGATGAAATATCAGAAACATTCTCAGTAAAGTTCAAGATAAAATATGCACACTCACCATTACATCTACTATTTACTTGCAGCACCTAGTCAATATAATAAGTTTAATCATAAATACTGAAAAAAATTAATGACTCATTAACTTCAGATATCTGTACCAGAAACAAACAAACAAACAAAATGAAGGCAAACAACTGATAAACTAATAGAACTAACAGTTTAATTACCTGGTCAGATTAAAAATTAATGTATAAAATTTAGTGTTTTTCCCTATTTACCAGCAACAGCTAATGAGAATATGCAATGGAAAATAAAAGACCTTATCAAAGGAGTCACAAAACTGTTTCCTAGGAATAAACCCAACAATATACATGGAAAACTATACAAAGAAACTAAGTCTTTACTGAAAATTCTAAAAGATGATCTGGATAAACAGGTAGGTATACCATGCTCATAAACAGGAATACTCACTAGTGGCTTTCTTATTTCTATTTGTTCTTATGTTAGCTGAGTGAATGTTTTACATGCACTTTAAAAGAATGTTATTTTCTGTAGTTGTGTGTGGTATTTTCTTTCTATTGGGTTGAGCTGATTAGTGACACTGTTCAGTTCCTTTACACCAAAACAAGTAGTTTTCTACTTCTTCTATTAATTATCGAGAGAGGAGGGCTGAAATATCAAAATGAATGTCAATTTATCTATTCTTCTTTAATTTTATAAGCTTATATGTCATGTTTTATGAAGCTCTATTAGTTGTACATATTTACTATTGTATCTTCTTCATGAATTGATCCTATTATTGTGAAATATCCCTCTTTATCTTCGGTAGCATCATCTTCCCATCAGTCTAATTTTTCTGATATTAACATCAGAATACAGCTACTTCAGCTTTATTATAATTTTTATTTGCATGATATAATATGATCTTTTAACCGTGCCATTAAAGTGGATTTCTCATAGACTGCAGACAGTTGGGCCAGGTTTTTACACCCAATCTAATACTTTCAGCCTTTTAACTGGAGTGTGTAGCCCTTTTACATTTAATATATTTATGTTTAGGGCTGAATTTAGGTTTATCATCCTGTTATTCATTTTATATTTGTACCACCTGTTCTTTTTTTCTCTTTTTCTGCCTTCTTTTAATCTAATTGTCTTTTTAACATTCTATTTTATCCACCGGCATATTATTTATTTTAGTGCTCACTGTAAGGTTTACAATCTATCTTCAAACAATATTACGCACTTCATGAGCAACCTTCAACACCTTAACAGTATACTTCTACTTCCATCCAAGTTCATCTTTTATGCTTTTGTAGCCATAAACTTTATTTCTCAGTGTTAAGAATCCCACATTCACTGTTAGTAATTTTATTTTAAAGGCCCACTATCTTTTATATTTAGCATTTCCTGCGCTTGTCACTCCCTGGTGTAGACATGAGTTTTCCTGTGGTACCATTTTTCTTCAGCCTGAAGAACTTCCCTTATCATTTCTTGCAGTGCAGTATACTGATGATAAATGCTCTCTACTTTTGTTTATCTTATCCCAAAATGTATTTTTTTGCTTTCAGTTTGGAAGATACTTTTGACGAATATACAAAGTTGAAACTGTTTTATCATTCAGCTTTTAAAAAGATGTGATTTACTGTCTTCTGGTTTGAACTGTTTCTAACAAGAAGTCAGTAGTATCCTTATCGTTGTTCCCCACAAATAATATCATTGTTCCCCTTAAAATCTTGCTACACAGTGTGAGTCCCAGTCATTTATCAGTTTGCACATTTCCAGTAGTCACTATTTCTTTGGTAGGCTCACCCTGCCCTTATTACCAAATCTGCTTTATTTTCTGTTTATACTGGTATTCCTGATAGTTAAAGCTTAAAAAGGAGGACTTCCTGGGTGGCACTTGTATAAAGAATCTGCCTATAATGCAGGAGACCCAGGTATGATCGCTGGGTTGGAAAGACCCCCTGGGGAAGAGAATGGCAACCCACTCAGGTATTCTTGCCTGGAGAATTCCATGGATGCTTAAAAGGAGGCAGTGAAAGAGAAGAAAATTTTTCCATTTACCTCAAAAAAAAAAAAAAAAAACACCCCAAAGTCATTACTTTTAAAGAAATTTGCTTTGCTTCTACCATATGCAACAGATGAAGATTCCTCAATCAAAGAATTCTCAAATCATATATACTTTTCTACACACTCACTTTAAGAAGCATCTGTAGTCTCTATTTCTTAAATTATTCACACAAATAATTCTGATTCAATAAGAGAAGACACAGAATATTTTATAAATATGCATAACTGTGGTTTCTATAGTCCAACCTCTATTTTTATATTATTAAAAGATAAATGTTGGAGTCTGGCACTGAAAAAAGAACAACGCCCTTCCAATTAATCACATGGAAGGAAGGATTCTTTAATAATGCTTTAATTTTCTACCTTTTAATTTTTAACACAACCTCATTTCCTGGCTACTTAAATTCATTCAATAGTTTATTCCAAGGCTGAAGTATTCAATCAAAATGCACTTTGAGAGGCAGTCAAACTATAACACAAGACAAGAAAAAAGAAGAGTGACAGGGGTCCCCAAGGTACTGCAACCACAGAGACAATCAAAGTTATAGAGAACAGAACATTAACAAAACAAGACAGGAATAAAAAAGCTTTACACTGCAAAGCTCTATTTCAAAGAAACAACTGATATTTTAAATACACTATGAATAGAAATCAATATGGACATGAAATTATTTTAACTTAAAAACAGATTACCATTTTGAAAAGGTTCAAAATTTAACTGAATAAAAGTTACCTACTATTTCAATGCCTTATAAGTAAGATCAAATGCATATCATGCCTATATAGTACTAAGTACTGAAACAAGTGGTTAAATATAAATATAAAATATAAAAAACATATACAAAATATAAAATAAATATTAAAAAGTATTTGATTAAACAAAGTAAATAACTTAAGAAAAACAAACAATTTGAATTATGGCATAATGGAATTTGTTTTATAGTTTCCCAGTTCTTTAGAATTTTGGTTATGTTGACAGTATGAGATCTTTTAAGATAAAAAAAAAGTATAAAAGTAAAAAAAAGAAATAAAATCAGTTACACTGACCACAACTAATGTAGAACTCCCTAGGAAGGTAACAGAGTAGAGGCCTGCTGAGTGTCACACTCAAAAGCAATATATTAAGACTGGAATCCATTTCAGAAGTCAAGAACGATAGGCGAAGGATGACTGACAGATGGAAGTCTCTAATGATACATAGCCTAACTTCTTCATGTTGTCATTCCAGTTTCCTCATTAGGTTAGTTATAGTTAGAACCCTAACTCTATGTCTGAGAGAATCCATTTCCAGCCAATTCTAACTGACACCAAATTCTCCCTCATGCTGAGCCCAAAGCTGCCTCCTTGCTCCTCAGAACCACAGAAGGCCAGTGGACCACCTCTGTACCTCGACATCCTTTCAGATATTTAAAGCATTTTTTTTCAAGTTGCATAGTTCTTTATTGTACTTTTAATGTAAATATTTGTTCAAGAGTATAACTGACATGTCAGACCATAATCTCTATTAAGACAGTGAAATTGTCTTTTAAATCTGACTCTGTAGTGCCTGGTAGTACACAGAGCACTTAATACACTAGTTGAATGGGAAGAAAAAAAAGGTACAGATGTCTGATTTCCTACTTGTACAAAATTTTGTCAATATTTTTGCTAAAATCAAGAGAGTCACCCAGTATAATCTCTCTTTCTTCTAATTTTAATACCCTTATATTTTAATGTATAGTCCTTTGCCTTGAACACATTTCTAATACGTGATATCGAACAATTTTATAATATATTTATAGAAACTTCCAGAGTCCAAAATGATCTAGATAGTAGGACATCTGTGTTGCACAATGAACATATTACTAACCTTTCATCACATATTCAGTGTAATTTTGACTTGTGTATTAATACAATGGAACTTCGTATTATCACATTGTAGCTTCAATTATATAAGTCTCATTATTTTTTAAAAAAGCATTCACTAAATAGACACTTTCAAATTACAAACATGTAAGGAACAAGTATGAACAGGGTAAGGTCAGATCTCTTAGGGGTGCTGAGGTAGAAAAAAAGGTTGAGAACTATAAATCCTCAATGATTAAATCTCCTTTTTTAAAAAATAATTTTTTTCAAAAAAAAAATAATTTTTTTCTAAGAAATGTATGTGAATGTTTAGCAACTATTAATAATTGGGACCATTAGATACTTACTTCACTGTGGCACTTAGAAGAAAGTTCAGTTGTGGCATTAACAGGTTGTCAGGAGCTGACAGATAGCGATCAAACTGAACCTAAATGAAACAGAGAAATTCGAAACACAAAGTGCATATATCTGCTAACAGACCTCCTTAATAATCATCCCTTTCTAAGGATTAAATCCTTGGGAAAATCCCATATTCCAAATAACGAGGTCTTTGTGATCAAATGAGTTATTTCTTCTATATTCTAACTAAATTCACTGCAAGTGTCAACTCTTTAAGGTACTCAGTTATCAGCAATATCTACTTTTAAAATTTCAAATCCAAGCCATTCATTTTGATCTCCCTCACCAAACTTCTGGGTAATAATATTAATAAGATGTTAAGTCATCAGATTTCAAGTCTACTTTACTTTTTAAAATCCAGAGTATCTGTTAATCATTTACTCATCTATTCATTATTAATATACATCAAGTACCTGTTATTGCTAAGGTACCTTATAACATAATGTAAATATAATGGTGAGCAAAAAATGACAGTCCCTAGCTTCACAGAGCTCATGGTCTAGTGAGAGAGGTAGTAAACAAATGTAAATAAAGGAAAAACCAAGGTACCAATACTATAAAAGCATCCATCAGGAGGACACAGATCTAATCTTTGTGTTTGGCAAAAGCGTCTCTGAGCAAAGGACATTTTAAGTAAAATCATGAAGATGAACTGACATTAGGTTAGGTGTGTGTGTAGTGTGGGGACAGTGTGGATGAAAGCTTAGGTGAGAAAGAATGGCTACTAGAGCTCAGTTCATGTAGGACTTGAAAGCTTTTCTAACAGATTCTAATATCTATTGTAAAAACATTAGCAAAACCATTAAAGGAGGGAAATAACGAAAGGGGGAAAATCATCTGATTTGAATTTAAGATGCTAACTCTGGCCACAGCAAAAAGAATCAAAGGGGAGGTCGTACAAAACAGATGCAAGGGCAACAAACGGGTAGCTCCTGCAGCATCTCAGACAACAAGGGCAACAGGAATGAAAAGAAAAGAAGATACCTGAGAAAATTAGAGAGCAAAATCATCACGATTTGGTTAGTAGTAAACGGGATGAAGGGGCTGACTCTGAGATTTTGGATCTGCATAATTTAATTCACAGCATTATCACAATTCACAACTGTATTCTTTATACACTTATTTAGTTGCGTGATAAATGCAGCTCTTATTGGTGGTTGTCTCTCATGATATATAGCCTAACTTCTTCATGTTGTCATTCCTGTTTCTTCATTAGCTTAGGAGTAAATTCTGAAACTGAAGAAAATCTAAACAGGAATAATGAGACTATTAGGGCATGGTGAAATATTACTACCAATGTCTGTCTTGATCAGACCTCTTTAAAGGAATATATGTGCAATCATTATGACTGGACCCAGTTGTGAATACAGACAATCATCACATGGGAAAGAGTAAGAATAACATTCCATAAGGAAATGTATACTGACACGCTTATTTGTGTACTTACCATTGCAGCCTTCAGCGCCACAGAATCTAGGTTGGGCAAATTGGCTAAAGGGCCCTTAAGGAACAAACGGTCAAAAACAAGATGAAAACAGGTGCTATATGTTACAGTTCACTTATGAAATACAGTCCATTAGGAGACTTCCCAAATTTGAAAATTTAGCTTATTTCCAAAGAACGTCCTATCTTCAACCTCAATTAAAAGAGGGACTATGATCTGTTACTTTTTGTATAACTAGCGTGAAGGTCCTCAATAATATGTCTCAGAGTGAGGAGCACATATGTTTACGAACAATGAAATAGCAGGATACTTCAGATTTGATCATAAGCAAGAAAAAAGGGCAGTTAAGTACTGAGAAATGGCAGTGAGACATAGGCACCTTAAGAGTCTCACTTTGACAATTTTAGACAGTATAAAAAAGGTAGCAGAATTAGCTCCTTCTGGTGGAAACTTGCCTATTACCTTATCGAAAGAAAAAATTCAAAACTATGATCTTTGAGAGTGTCACTTAAAAGAGTTCCTGGGCTATAAAATATTTTTCATCTTAATGTTATTTAAAAGAGCTTTTTGCTTTTTCAAGAAAGATGCTTACATGGTTTCCTAGGCCTCTCTCCCACTCTGTGTTCTAACTCTACTGGAGTTCCATAACTGAACAAGATCATATGCTAGCCCCAGAAGTATTTACCTTTCCAAATAATAGACCATGATCTGCTAAATTAAAAGGGGGAATGACTGCTATTTATATATAGTAATCTATGCATTCAATTAGTTGATGGTGATAAAGGACTCTGAAAAATTTACCATTGTATTACCATCTATAGTGAAAAGGACAGTTAACATTTGGGGACACTCTACTATTTTTTTCCATTTATTTATATTAGTTGGAGGTTAATTACTTTACAATATTGCAGTGGTTTTTGTCATACATTGATATGAATCAGCCATGGCTTTACATGTGTTCCCCATCCTGAACCCCGCTTCCCACCTCCCTCCCCACACTCTACTATATTTCAGGTAGTCATTTGAGCACTACACAGGCGTTATCTCACTTAATCATCAGAATAACCCTATGTTACAGATATTAGTACCCTCAACTTACAAATGAGGAAACAGAGACAAGTCACTTTCCCAGTGAGAAATTGCGATGAAGTGGCAGAGCCAAGATTCTAATGAGTCTAGCTCTAGAAGACACAGTCTAAATCAGTGTTTCTCTCTAGTCAGAAACAGCCACGTGCTTACCTGTTCAGCTTTATGTTGCTGTACCGTGTTATAGATATAACTCAAGCCTGCTCTGGTTAAAACGTAAGAAGCTTGCTCGTTTATAAGTGTGTCCAAATGTGCTTCGATCTAAAATAAAACACAGGTAAAAGAAAACATTTTGAAGAAGAATAGGACTGATGAGAGTAGGAGACGAGCCTGGACTCTCAGCTCTCCATCGCGCTCCTTGCTGAGGCGCAGGGACTGCTCTTATACAAAGACTGTTCCTTCCTCAAAGAGGAAGTCCTCTCACAAATGGGAAGAAAGTCTTTTTTGAGGATTCCAGGACTAGCCACTAGTCAAAAAAATCTGAGTTGCTTCTTAGCTCTTTTAAAAGCTGGTATGACACAAACAAACAAAAACTATTCATCAACAACAACAACGTAAAATAAAATACTTAAGAAGAGTTCTGGGAGGATGAGGACTTGTTCCTCACATCCACACTGCCTCATGCTCTCAACTTACTGGACTGACTCAGCCAATCAGACATGCCATCTGGAGAGGCCCGGAGGACATCCCACAGGGGCTGAAGCTCTAAGTTCTCCTGAAGAAAGCAGATCTGGGACAACTAGGGGATGGTTGAGGACCCAGCAGCAGACTAGTCAGAGACGTCAGGTGCAGGCTGCCTACAAAGACTATGCTGGCAGATGCGAGTTGTATGTGCTCGCCTGCTTTGTGCTGTTCTTGGGGAAGCTACCTACGGCCAGTGGGGAAAGAAGTCACAGGAGGAGACTGCCTGGTGGGATGACAAATTCCTAGGAAGGGAATTCCTTCCTTTTACCAGTACAGGTCTGAAAGCCTGGAGCTCTTCCTGCTGTTCCTCCCTGCTATCAACCTGCTTACCACTGACACAGTTCACCATTAACAGATGATGTTCCCACCTGAATGCTTGCCATTGTCCAAGCCTCTACAGTATCTGAGGCCCTCCCCTTAAAAAACTTACAACTGGTTTAAAAAAGGTGATAGGTTCTAAGAGGAAAGCCACCAGAGTAATGGAGACAAGTGTCTTTTCTTGCGGTAACACAGGTAGCTCAGACAGCAAACAACCCACCTGCAATGCAGGAGACCCAGCTTCGATCCCGAGGTTGGGAAGATATCCTGGAGAAGGGAATGGTAACCCACTCCAGTACCTGGAAAATTCCATGGACAGAGGGGCCTGGTGGGATACAGCCCATGGAGTTGTAAAAAGTCACATGACTGAGTGACTAACACATGTATGTTGAAAGACACAGGGCACTTTAATTTTTTTCAAGTGAATGCCCAAGAAAGTACAATTAGAACTTTAGAACCTTTACTTACTAGTTACTAGTCTCTTTGAAAATCCAAGAAAAATAAGATTGCAAATATAAATATTGAATGAAAAGAGTTACCACTAAGAACCAAATTTGTGTCTGAAAGAAAAATGGAAGAATAGTAATACAGAATAAATATCAAAGAAATATATTAAAGTGAAGAGGTTTAAACAGAAATTAAAAGACAAATTCAGGAGATAAAGCCAACTAAGGACAGAAGCTTTTTATATTCAGAATATAAAAAGTAACAGATGGAGAAGTGATAATTAATTAAAGATAACAGAAAACTTTCTTGAGCAAAAAAAAAAAAAAAAGGTTGAATCTCCAGACTGAAATGGCTCTGCAAAGTCCAAAATGGAAGTAACAAAAAAAGAGACATACTAAAAAATATCCTGAGGAAATATCTGAACTCAAAGGAAAATCCTTATAAGCTTCCACACGAATAAAATAGGTTTATTGCAAAACTAAAGAGAATCAGACTAGCCTGGATTTCTTACTTAGAACACTGGAAGTTTAAGAATGGAAGAAAATTACCAGGCTATTGATAGAAGATATCTGAAAATCAAGAATCCTTTAATAAACAAGGAAAACCATTACTGCAGGAGCACACCGCCAAGCAAGCAGCCACACCCTTGCCCAGTCCTTCCACACTGACTCTAGGCTGGTCCATGAGACCAGCACCACCAGCCTAACAGCAAGCATGATGTAGACCTAATAATCACTTACACGGTGGGGTGTGTCCTCTGGGGATGCAAAAACAACTCTGAGATATTTAAGAAACAAGGATAGCTAATGATAAAACAGATTGTTGGACAACTGATACATATCTGCACATTTCGGGAATAGATTTAAGACAAACGGCAGTTTGGGGTTGAATTAGTGATAAATACATTAAAAACCAATGAATTTTTTAAAAAGATTTTTACTAATTATACATAAACAGTTCTGGAAGAAAGAAAAATTAATCATACTTCATATTTTGTAAAAAAAAAAAAGAGAAGAAAAAAGAAAGGATTTGACAGCAGGAAATATCACGAATTTAGAGGTCTCAAAACTCATTCCTTGGAAAAACCAAAAACAATACATTTTTACTACAGCCATTGCCAACTGTTTATATTCTTGTGATAATAAAGAAGATTCAGAGTTTTGTTGGTTTTTTTTAAACATTTTTATCTACCAAATCACTATTTCAAACTCAGAAGTCAAGTGTCTGGTAAATTTTATAAATGGCGTTGTTGTGACTCTTAAGTGAGACCATTTGGTTTAAGAACTAGCATGGTTGGTTTAACAAATTGTAATGTTGTGCCTAACACTGATTTACACAGACAAAAATGTATCTGTCCTTTGCAACACCTTCCGCACAAGCTCCGCAGCTCGAAAAATATAGCACGTTATTCACAGTTCGGAAACTGAAATCTGCATACAGGATAACAGTTCAAATTAGTCAGAAAAGCTCCATTCTACCACCATGTACTATGATTTGAATAAAATATCCTACTCATTACATACCCTGGCTTCTCCCAAAACTAAAATACTGAATATGCCTGGGGGGAAGGGAGGTATTATCAGACTATAACAAGGGATTCAGAGAAATCAGGTCACTGAAGTTGGCTTACAGCCAGTAACTGAGATCATGTATGGAAAAAGATTTCATCACAGTGAGCAGTCATGTTATGGCAAAATTAACCTGGAACTGCAGCATTTCCAGACGTCTGTCAGTGAATTCAAAGAGAGCTAATGTCGTCTTCATCATATATAGTGAATTGACCATGAAAGTGGCCATGTCAGCTGTGCCCAAATGGCTGGCTGATACAGTACACATCTGGAGGAGAGGATCCAAGACACATGATAAAACCTAAAATGAGAAATAGAATTAAACAGACCCTTCATCTCCGTACCAGTGACACAGGTCTGCATTGACAGAACTTCAGAGTGAACGCCAAACTAAAGAGGAGGGGACCAACTTACAGAAGCACACATGAAAGAGATTAAATGGTATAAAAATCGTAACTCTTAGAACAAGCATCACTGAACATATATTACTTTTTAAATTAATGGGAAATGGTTTAATATTTGAAGGAAAAAACACTGAGAATGGGTGTCAAGATAAATGGGTTACAAAATGCCAGAATTTCAACAGAATGTACACTAGAGAAGCAATAAGAGTGCTTAAGGGTGAATTTACAACACACCTGCACAAAATCAGCTTGACGGGCATCTAATGGCACAACTGAAGAATCATGAGATGCTAGAACTTCACGCAGCAACATGAGCGTCTGATTTAAGGCAGAACTTGGTCCAAGATCAGGTGGTGGGAGTTCAACCTAAAATAAAGGAAGATCTATACATGGCTTATATTTTTCTACTAAATTTTAGTGTCTAAATAAATGCCAGTTCACAGTAAAATCATTCATATTAAAGACATAAAGCACTGGCTGACACATTACAAAATCTATCATCTATCAATTGTTTATTCTCTATTGTACTAATGAAAATCACAGAAAGGGACACAAAAGTTTTTGTTAGATTATCTCAGAATTAATATATCAGAAGTATAGAATCTGTACTTTTAAAATACAAAAAATTACGAGGAAAGACTTCCTAGTCTTTGAATTTAGGATTATATTTTCACATGGATTTGAAACGGCCTATTTTGTTTAGCCCAAGTCTTAAGAAAAAAGTAATTCAGAGAGAGACCAGCACCCCCCCCCCCAACTATAACCGAGAGTCACCACCCCCCATCAGGCCCCAGTCTCAGATACTGTGGCTCAATATGTACAGGCTCAGGGTCTATATACTTGAAACCAAGTCCCCTAAAACTGAGTTCCCTCACTGAGTTTATCAGTAATCTCTTATCTAAAACCAGACTCCCTTTCTTGTCCTGCCCGTGCTCCCCTCAGGACTAAAGAGTATCAAAGAAAAGGAGAGACTGAAACCACGCAGGACCCTATAGGACATTCCCAGGCACAAAAGCCCCTCCGTGTCCCCCATTTCCTGTTTGTGGAACAAAAGGCTTTAGTCTCCTACGCCTTTTCTGAGTTCCGCAGAGCAGAAGCAAATGGTTTATGATTAGGACAACAAACTCACAGGACTTCTAGTTCCTCCTGAAAAGACAGAGATAACAATCCGATGCATACTATGAGTTGTTCAGGAGAAAGTAAGACCCCCATCTTGGCAGAGAATGGTGACCACATGCTGATCACAAACACACAGACCCCTGCTGGAACCAGCAGGTTAAGATTCCCAGAACATCACCCTGTTACCTTATCACCAATAAGGTAATCAATAACCAATAACCAATCAGAAGGTCCACAAACTGGTCACATATCCTAAGATCCTTTCCCCTAACACTGTCTTTAATAACCCTTCCTGAAAGCCATCGAGGAATTTCCATCTTTTGAGCATTAGCTGCCCATTCTCCTGGCTTGGCACTCTGCAAATAAACCCTTACTTCGCTCCAAACACCCATGGTCAGAGTTTGGCTTTCCGGCCCTGTGGGCACATGAGCCCCCTCTCGGTAAACATACATTGAAACCATCACCACATTCTATACCACAACCATTTCCTCTGAAAGTTTCCTCTTACCTTACTTATTTATGGAATTACAATTTTAAGTCAGTAAAATTATTCAAAAGAAATTTAAGAGTGCAAGTTAATGTTTGAAATGTAAAAAAAAATTACAACTTTTTCACATACTTTTATTTAAAATTTAAAAAGCATTTTAGCTGAAAACATTGTTTTTGTTTGTTTTTCCTGGCAGAATAATCTGCAAGGAATAATGTAAAACTCGAAGTATTCCTCTAAAAAAGCACTTTTCAAACTTTAAGAAGCAAACAAATGACCAGGGATCTGGTTAAATGCACATTCTGATTCAGCAGATCTGAATCTTAATCTCAGATGCCTGAGGTTCTTCATCTCAGCTAAATTTATAAACTCCGAGGTGATGTCCAAGCTGCTCCTCCAAGAACTACAATTTGAACAGTAAAAAGACACTCTAGACAGGAGTGATATCCAAGAATTTAAATCAAAATTTAAAGGACCATTTAGATTTTCTTTTCAGAGTGCTCGGCAAATCAACCCTGCTTACTATTAATTTGATATGGGTTTCATTTATGATAAAACATACCCTTTAAGTTAGTATTGTATTACTATAGTGAAAAGAACTTTTCAGAAAATGTCTCTCTAGCTAAAACTGATATGACATTGTATCTTTTAGAGGATCCTTTAGATTTTGCTAGATGCACAGCTATGAATGTGCATCTAGCACATTTATCAGGAGAGCCTGATAAACAAGGGAGACATACTTGACTACTGAAGTGCTTCAAACACTTTGTTAGGGAAAAGGTACATCTTTCAATAAAATAATGTCCTTGAATTTTCCTTTAGCATACCAGATAAAGAATTAGCTCCCAAATGTGTCTTTTTAAAAGCAAAGAAGGAATCATAAAAGAGTTTGTTTCTGGCTATACCTTTATTTTAAAAGCTATTCTTCCTAACAATTTTATAATCCACTTTAAAATTCTATTAACAAAAACTGACTGCTTTGGTAGTGAAGACCATTCTGCAACATGTGTTTTCCTAATAAGACTATAATCTTCTTGGAAGAGATGAATGGTTTATAAGAGGCAGAATAAGATGATAATATACTTAACATAAAATATGGAACATTAAAATTTGGAGAAAGATTTTCTGAAAGAAACCTGAAATGGTTGTGTACATATAAGTAACACATGAGCTATAAACAATATCATATTCCAATCTCAACGTAATGTTAAAATATCCCTAAATATTGCCCAATTCATATCTCAGAAAAACATTTCAGGGCATAATTATTGATAATAACAATAAATAAGTCAAAACTCATTCACCTAATCTCACATAGGCTGAAGTATTAATTGGTACTTAATATATTCAAATTACAATTCTTTCTTTCCCTGTTTTTATCCTATTCTGTTCTAGAATTTAGCTGGAAGACGCCACACTTAAAATTTACCTTTCATTAACCATTGTATTTTCCTGCAACTTTTAACTTTATAAGAGGAATATAGTATTTAAAAACTTAGTGGGTTTTTTGAATGAAAATAAAACCAAATAAATGGATAACCATTTGAGAAAAATAAGTGTGATCCTTCCTTCCCCGCATGGACAAAAATAAACTTTATGTAGATTAAAAATTCAATATAAAAGTGAAACTACAGAAAGACCTAAGAACATGCATTTATATAAGTTTATTAAATAATCTTAACACTTTCCCACTAATAGATATTAACTTTAGCATATAATAAATTCTATATATATTTTCTTGATGTGGGAAAGTTTTTGAAGTACATTTTTTTTTTTCAGTTTTAAGCATTTATTTTGCAGTGGTACATTTTATAGCAAGTTCCCAAAGGTGAAACAATAGAGGAAAAAAAGGTTAGATTTTACTGTGTAAACATTAAAAGGGATGTTATCAGAATATACTACAGGCAAAATCAAAATGTAAATGATGACATGGAGAAAAGATCTGTAATATATGACACTTAATATTCATAATGTATAAAAATATCAGAAAATAACAAGAATAAGATACAACTTAGTAGGAAAATGGCAAAGGACTTGAAAAAACAATCCATGTGGTAATTATAATGACTGACTTTCATTTGTTGAACTATCCCTGCAATCCAGTTGGTCAGGCTGTATAATCTTTTCTAAGGACTTCATTTGGTTTGCTAGTTATTATACTTTTCAACTCCAGAATTTCTTTTTGAGATTCTCTAACTCTTGGCAGGTATTTCCATTCTGTCCACACACTGTTCTCTTGACTCATGTTTAACATAACTGTTCTAAATTTCTTTGGCTGGTAGATGTGCCATCCAGTCTTTTGCAGGAAGGCATTTTCTTTGAATGTTTCTTTCTTTCCCTGTTTGTGTGCCTTGTGATTTTTTGCTGAAAACAGCATTTGTTAACCCTGGAAATAAATTCTCCCCCTTCTCCAGGGGGAGAATTACTATTACTCCAGGGGGAGTGTTACTATTTTTTTTACTTGCTGTAGGCTCTCTCTGTACCAAGGATCAGGCTGTGGTGTAAACCAAAGTTCTCAGGTCTTTCTGAGCCTGCTCCTTCCCCTGAACATGTGGTTACTTCTTACTTTTCCTTGTATGTACAGTTGCTTTTGAATGTTTTTAATGTCTGACTCCTATCATGGGAAAAAGAAAAAATATTAAGGGGGGTAGAAAAAATGCACTAACCTTTGAAATCACCAGGAAGTCAATTTAGCCAACTGACTAATTTGGGAGGAGGTGTCTGTCACAACACGGAGGTGTAGAAACAGTGGCCACCCTCCTCTTCACAACTCTGGGATGACAGCACAGATCCCAGAGGTACGGAGGCCAGGGTCCTTTTTGTCCACCCTGGCCCTACAAGCTGTGTGCAAGGCACTCCAGGAACAAGTGCACAGCTGCCGCCATAGCCCTGGGGGTGGGAGATGGGCAGCTGCAAGTGTGCTAAGAGTTGAAGTTGACCAAAACTGACTGCAATTTACAGTTCAAGCCTTCCCCTAGAATGTGCAATTCTTCAACAGACTCCAGAGTTCTAAAAGAGTTACACTAGACAAATTCTGCTAGTGCAGTTGTCTAAGGTTGTAAAGACAGATTCCTGGTTGCCAAATTCCCTGGTTGCCAGATTTCTATGTTGCCAAATTCCCCAAAAATTATTTATCCTTGTATATTGATCTTGTCATCAATTGTATTTCTTGGGTTTTTGAAGTACAATCAGAGCACTCACAAAAAATCCCCTATTTCTTCCTTTAAAATGTTTGTCTCTCTCATTGCTTTATCTGGACTGGTATTTAAATAAGCAGTTCTTGGCAAGTATTCTTGTTGTATTCTTTTTTGACCTAGAAATATTAATACTAGTTCTTCTATGTTAATCATATTGGCTGTTCGTTTTATTAATCTTTATATGGTAAAGGAAGTACTCCTACTTCCTCATTTACTAATATTTTCCCTCAACAATTAAATATCTAGTAAGTTTTAATCCTCCTCTTTGGTTGCTACCTCCAATTCTGATATTATAATTTTAAATTTTGTCACTGCTTAAAGAATTGCTAGAAGGTTGTCAATTTTGTTGATCTTTTCAACAAATAATCAATTTTGTTTTTCTGATTTCTAATTGATTGTAGAAATGTACTTTCATTTTTCCTTTTACCATTCTTTTCAGATTTCACAATAAGAATGCCTCCCACATTTTACTTTTAGTTTTTCTTAGTTCCTATGTTTTCCAATTAGTAAAGCTTTGGGTAATATGCTCGTGTACTTTTCCCATATTGCAATCTGGCTCTTGCCCCCACCACATGAATAAAATTGTCCTCCGTAAGTCATGTATCACCTACATATTGACAAAGATAACAAAACCTGCTGTCTCTTTTTTAATAGAACTCTTCCTATAGTATGTGCCACCAACCATGCTTTCACCTCTATTCTCCTGGCTTTTCTGATAAAATCCTTTTCTCATTTCTCTCCTGCCTCTCCAACCTTCTTCAGAATCCCACCATCGCTGGGCTTACATTCTTCTCTTAAATGTCACTGTTTCTCAAGACTGTGTCCTAGAAGCCCTACTCTCATTAAACATGATTCCTGGCAACCTCATACAAACCCATGGATTCAGCTCTTTATACACAAAACCCCGTAAACCCAAATGCACGGCTCCCTGCTAGGTGAGACTGACCATAGAAGGATACCCCACGTGTGTCTTGTCTAATTTAGATAATATCGTCATTTTATTCCGTAGATTTTGCACTTTCTCTTTATTCCAGATACTGCAATTAGTATCAATATTCCCAGGTTGGGAACTTGGGAACTATTTTAGAACTCTTTCCTCTGATTTAACCACATTCTATCAGAAACTCAACTTTTGAAGACTTACCTTTACCCTTCAAGAATCTATCCCCTTATGGCTCTTCCCTTAGAGTAAGTATTTTCATAAAAACTACTTCAATGATAATCCCTTCACCACCCTGTCTGCAATCACCTCTCTGTCTACATTCCATCCTGTCTCTTAAACAAAGAGTTACATATTCTCTTTGTTTCCTGTATTTAGGATGACCTCTACCCACCCTCCTTTTCACCTATCTAATCCCCTACGTCCTTCAAAGTTCAACTCTTGTAACTCCCTCTCTGGAAAGCTCCCCCTCTGTATATTATTATGGACACATATACTCCTCCTCTAAAGGCAAAGGAGAAAAGGAAAGATATATCCATTTGAATGCAGAGTTCCAAGGACTAGCAAAGAGAGGTAAGAAAGCCTTCCTCGTGATCAATGCAAAGAAATAGAGGAATACACAGAATGGGAAAGACCAGAGATCTCTTCAAGAAAATGAGAGACCAAGGGAACATTTCAAGCAAGACAGGCACAATAAAGGATAGAAGTGGTATGGATCTAACAGAAGCAGAAGATATTAAAAAGAGATGGCAAGAATACATAGAACCACCATTCAAAAAAGATCTTCATGACCCAGATAACCATGATGGTGTGATCACTCACCTAGAGCCAGACATCCTGGAATGTGAAGTCACATGGGCCTTAGGAAGCCTCACTATGAATAAAGCTAGTGGAAGTGATGGAATTCCAGTTGAGCTCTTTCAAATCCTAAAAGATGATGCTGTGAAAGTGCTGCACTTAATGTGTCAGCAAATTTGGAAAACTCAGCAGTGGCCACAGGACTGGAGAAAGTCAGTTTTCAATCCAATCCCAAAGAAAGACAAAGCTAAAGAATGTTGAAACAAATGTACAACTGTACTTATTTCACACTCTAGCAAAGTAATGCTCAAAATTCTCCAAGCCAGGCTTCAACAGTACATGAACTGTGAACTTCCAGATGTTCAAGCCAGATTTAGAAAAGGCAGAGGAACCAGAGATCAAATTGCCAACATCTACCTGTTGGATCATCAAAAAAGCAAGAGAGTTCCAGAAAAACATCTATTTCTGCTTTATTGACTATGCCAAAGCCTTTGACTGTGTGGATCACAACAAACTGTGGAAAATTCTAAAAGAGATGGGAATACCAGACCATCTTACATGCCTCCTGAGAAATCTGTATGCAAGCCAAGAAGCAACAGTTAGTACTGGACATGGAACAACAGACTGGTTCCAAATCAGGAAAGGGGGTACATCAAGGCTGTATACTGTCACCCTGCTTATTTAACTTACATGCAGAGTATATCATGTGAAATGCTGGGCTGGATGAAGCACAAGCTAGAATCAATATTGCAGGGAGAAATATCAATAATCTCAGGTATGCGATGACACCACCCTTATGGCAGAAAACAAAGAGGAACTAAAGAGCCTCTTGATGAAAGTCAAAGAGGAGAGTTAAAATGTTGGCTTAAAACTCAGCATTCAAAAAACTAAGATCATGGCATCCAGTCCCATCATTTCACAGCAAATAGATGGGAAAACAATGGAAACAGTGAGAGACTTTTATTTTTTGGAGGCTCCAAAATCACTGCAGATGGGGACTGCAGCCATGAAATTAAAAGCTTTTAATTAAAAGCTATTATTGGAAAGCTTTGATAAACCTAGACAGTATATTAAAAAGCAGAGACATTACTTTGACAACAAAGGTCCATCTCGTCAAAGCTTTGCTTTTTCCAGTAGTCACGTATGGATGTGAGAGTTGGACTGGAAAGAAAGCTGAGTGCCGAAGAATTGATGCTTTTAAACTGTGCTGTTGCAGAAGACTCTTAAGAATCCCTTGTACCTTAAGGAGATCAAACTAGTCAATCCTGAAAGAAATCAGTCCTGAATATTCATTGAAAGCACTGATGCTGAAGCTGAAACTCCAATACTCTGGTCACCTGATACGAAGAACTGACTCATTGGAAAAAACCCTGATGCTGGGAAAGACTGAAGGGAGGAGGAGAAGGGGACGACAGAGGATGAGATAGTTGGATGGCATCACCAACCCAATGGACATGAGTTTGAGCAAGTTCCGAGTTGGTGATGGACAGGGAGGCCTGGCGTGCTATAGTCTGTGCAGTCCAAGAGTTGGACATGACTAAGTGACTGAGCTAAACTAATACCCCTCCTTCATGTGCTAGCATAGCACACTGCGTACATCTTCCATAAAACACATGATTCTACAGTAAGCACTGATTTATCAGACTATTTTCCATGAATGGAAGAGTAATCTGAGACCAACAGACCTTCACTGTTTGCTCTTGTGCTCTCATTAGAAAGCAACATTCAAAGTTTGTATCATGGATGAAATGATTTTAGAAAAATTGTGTCTAAATAATAACTTATATAACTATATCTAAAACAAGAACTGACTGCCTGTTAGTAAACTTCTGGTGATACAGAAAAACACATACGTGAAATACTTCATCTCCACAAATGCATGCTGCTTTTCCAGAAAATCTGAAACCTATGTTAGGGTCAGACAGTAGACTCTTAAGGTTTCCCTGAGCTTAGGAATGTAAAATCCAGGGCCTCTGAACTGGATTGCTACTGACTGCTCAACACCATACTACAAACCTGCGTCTAGTATAACTAGGCAATTGGACAGAGCAGCATAATTTAAAACAAAAATGGTGATTGTGATACATCCCTGAAAAACCTGAGTCCTTAATAATGAAACAAAAACAAAGAAGGATCTGACGGTTATAAACCCATTCTTTAAAGTCTGACCAATTTACTTTTGCACAACACAATGCTCAATGTAAAATACTAGCTCTCACAGAACTCTTGCAGGTTTTTGTTATTTCGTTTTTTTTCTTTGCTTTTATGGAATATTTTATTATCTTACTTGCTTCATAATTGCAGTATGTAACTCAAAGGAATATAAATTCCATTAGGAAAAAGGTAGACCACCAGTGTAAAAATATATGTCAGCTGTTTAGAAAAAGTATTTACTAAAAGTTCCAGTTTTTCAATCTGTATGTCATTTTAGTCCTGACCTATTAAATATAGAAAATCTGCTTTAATTACAAATTGTGGGTTATTGAAAAATGGTAGTAAAACTAGGGCTTTGAGATTCTACTTCCAACTATGACTCGATGTTATACTGCTCCAGGAACAGACTATAAGCCTACATCCAGTAAGCCACCCCAAAATGAATTTTCTTGTTCACAGGAAGAACTCAAGAGAACACTAAATGAAATGGGAAAAAAACTCACCAGTGTAAAAACAATAAAACAGCATTTTTAAATGTGAAAGACTCACACAGTATAAGAACTGCATTTTTCAAACATACCTTGTCCATTAACTTACTGGCATGAAGACTTAAGCTGTTGAAGAATATTTTTTTGCTAAGCAAATGCATTTCTTCAATGGTAGTCAACAATGTAGTTGCGCTATTTCCAATAATGCCACTAAAAGCAAAGAAGATTTCTGGTTGCAAAGCAGGCCTAAACAATTTAGCTCTATAACTGGGTAGAATTCTTTTAAAAGATCCAGATTTAAATAAAAGTTTTTATATAGAATATAACCTGTGAATTAAAACAATTACTCTAGTTTCATACAGAAATGAGGTTTTTTTTCTTTTAGGTTAGGTGACGAACAAATGAAAGCAAACTACAGTGTTTTCAATATCTCATAATCTCTTAGAAAAGCAGTGGATTAGACTAAACCCTTATAGCATGCAAATCCATGTGGCTATTTTTCTGCTATTACAGTAAATGTATGTTTTGATTATCTAAGAAAATCTGATTTTAATTTAAAGGAAGCCATTCCATCAGTAGCTCTATGGAGAAAATATTAATACTGAGCTTTTTTAATTAAAACTTATGTCGTATTAGTAACACATCTGCAAATTATAAAGTATTATGATTATACAGCTGCCAAAAAAGTATATTTAAACTAATTATGAAAAATTTGGCAACATTTTAAAATAACTACTGTACATCCTATAATTCTCAATTTTCTACAAGGATATTTCTTAGACTTGTCCAGTGGGGTTTCTCATTTTTTGCAGAATGTAACACAACCATGTATATAAAACAATTTCCAATTTTATTCTCCTATTCATGTACTGAAAGTGATTCTTCTATTCCTGATACTGGCATGCTTGTAAAAAGTCATCTAAAATTTTTAATAGACTTGGAACTATTGTTTTACCATTGTTTTACCACAACTCACATATAACATGGTCTTACAGTGAGTGACATTTACAATAGGGCTCAAGTGTACGCATGCTGTCAAAAGATATATGCATGGTGAAAATGAATGCAAATTTTGGAGTCAAAGATTATATTTTAGATAAGACAAGGGGTTCCTAGATAAGACAAATGGTTCCTAATCAGATAAAGTCACTTTAATTTAGAGAAGATAAGATAGCTATTAATATTACTTAGAGAAGATAAAGCTATGGTTCTGTTTTACCACTAATGGAAAACTAAATGTTAAAGACGAATTTATGTTATTTACATCCAGAATAGGACATTTTACTAATTATGCCCTGTTCTGAGTATAATATAGACTTGCTTTAAGTGCCATGGATCTCAAATACAGAAGGACTCAAAAAATACTTCTATTATAGACTTATACTGCTACATAAGCTGTGTGTAAAAAATGTGTGTTTGTGTGTGTGTGTGTTTGTGTGTGTACAGTTACGCCTGGAAAAGAAAGGGAAAAGGAAATAACGAACCTCAAACTACATCATGTATAATACACAAATAATGACTCACATGGTGTGGCGGTTCTACCAGTTTATACTTAGTCGACAAACAGAATACACACACACATAAATACTACACTGTGTTCTAACTGAAATGAAGTATGACATGGGATTTAATGAGCACATTTAACCATTCCACTTACCTGATTGTGTGGTGGTAAAATTTGAGGAGGTTAGAAATTTTATATAATAAAACTGCCCCAGGTTCAGCAACTATTACTTGTTCAATTCGAACCTATTAAAATATGTGACAAAAAATTAAAAGTGTAACTTTTTTTTCATTAATCACATGTGGTGTGAACAGCATTAAAGAGATTAAATTTCATGATTACAGAAATCACAAACTTCCTTCTAAATAAGTAATATCTGAGTATTACATCAGAGGATGATAAAACACAACAAATTTAACAGAGATATACTCTATGAACAAACGATCTATTACCTATAGAATTTGGCTCAAGACAATTGCTATCAGAAATAATCAATACAGTGAGATCATCGTGAGGTTTTTTAACCAGCATACAATGGAGTTTAGCTCAGCACTAAACGGCAAAGCAGCTGTTACACGCCTAAAATCATCAGTAAAAAGGTACAGCTCTGACTGAAGTGTTAGCAGCAGCAGCAGCTGTGAACCAATAGTATGGGGGAAAAAATGAAAACAGTTTTACCTTTAAACAACTAAACCAAGTTTCTTTTAATATTAATTAGAGAACAGGAAAGCAGATGGATCTTGAGTTGACTCCAACATATTTGTCTAATTATAATACTACCAAGGCAGTATCTCAGATCTAGTTCAAAATTAACTTCAAATGCTCAAGATTAACTACTGGGACTCTTTCTAATTAAAATCCATCCTTCACTAATCTTTCCCTAACTAACAAATACAATTTAAACTACACTGAATGTGCTTACTTATATATTACACTACATCTATACTTAAGCTGCAGATAACATTATGTCTTCTTGTTTTCTAATTAGATTTGAAACACAGACATTGTATTTTCTAGTCCTTTTACATATCTGCAGCACTTAGCAGAATAATGCATTTGCAGGAGATGTTCAATAAACATTTTTGAAAGCATTTAGATTTTGGAGTATGTCGTAATACCAATGAATATGATCTGCTAAAATATTTTACATTATAAATACATGTAATAGTATACAAAAACCTTGCATAGAAAATTGGCAATGATTATTTTAAAATGCATTTTATTATCTGACATTAATGTGTTAATTTGACAAAATTACAGCTTGAATTCAAGTTGCTATTTCTTTAAACTCCAAATAAGGCAACAATTTAACCATATAACATATATAAAATATTTTATATAATGTATACAAAGTATTTTACCTTTAGAGGCCTGCACACACCCTCAGTGATATGGCCAACAACTTCTTGAATATTTTCTTCAACACCTACGGTTAATTATAACATAAATGAAATTTTTTTCATATTGCACTGCTTCACAGAAGTACAAAAAATCAACAAACACTAATACCTGTGATTAATGGCATTAATGATAAACATTTAAAATAACCATTAATGGTATTTTATTAAGTTCAGTATCTTTTAGGACATTACTAACTATATTAATATCTGAACCTAAAGCTCTATCAATTCATTTGACTGCTGATTAATGAAAAAAGACTGTGAAATTAATTAACTGAAGGAGGTGATGAGTAGATGTATTAGGCTCTGTTCCACAAACTCCTTATTCTAGGCAGATGTACTAAGCGCACAAACTGCAGGTATAAGATGGAAAACACACCTTACAATTTAATGGAAAAACTGACATTTACTAATTTCTGACCACTTATCAAGGTCTGTACCGTGTACTTGGACACGTACAGCTTGTAACCACCTTCACTTTCACAGATGGAGAAACTGAAGTTTAGAAGAATTCATGCCATTCCCACAGAAGAACCTATTTCTAACTCCAATTATTTTCTTCCTGCCTCTTAATGTGGCCTCTCAATGTATACTCTACTAACAGCTTTGAGGAAATAAATTCTTTTAAACGGCATTATTAGGATAACAGAAAACAACTTTAAACAGTGCAGACTGCGTGCCAATCTATCACAGATGCTGAATCTAGTCTCAGTATCAATGAGGAGGTTGAGTCTTGCACCCATTTGCACACCGGCCTCTCCTGGAAGATGACCTGATGAACCAACACGATGTGGGGCCACAACATGCAAGACAGGCAAGTGACACCCCCCACAACACGTCTCTTCCCTTCCTATCAAATCCAGAACATCTTAATTATCCACTAACCCCTTCTATCACAAAACAATTCTGAAACAGCCACATGAGAATGAAAAAAGGGGCTGAGTAGAATTAACAGAAAAGAAAGAAGTAGGAGCTTCATGACCTTAAGAAAAGTCCCCGAGCCTGTGTGTGTGTAGACAAAACGGAGACGACATTCCCTTTTGCCTTTAGAGGACAGCGCTGTACAAGATCTGAAACGACGTCCATCAGGCACTCCAGAGACACCTTGAGAGGGGAGCAGAGGGGTCCTGGTTTACTAGGGAAGGCCCCAAAGGCCCAGTATAGAAATGCCATCAGCTGTGTCACAAAATCAAAGTGATGGAGAAGAATCAGCGGGAAAATGGGAAACTAGAGAAAGACTGACTAATGGAAGCTTACTGAATCACCTAGTGTGAAGAGTTTATCTCCATGCAGCAAACAGCAACGAGAACAGAAACAGAAATGTTCTGTGTGATGTGCTACATCTCAGATGAGCAGGAACCACCGGGTGACCCACCTTGTGTAGTTACATGCTTCAAAAGAGCTTCAAGGTGTTCTTTTTCAGAAGCAGTAGCTTGATGGAGCCAAGCCAACATATCTCCTACGTATCTAATGAAAAAACTAAACGTTAGTGAAGATTTCCTTCAGAAAAATACTGAATATCCCAATACTGTCTGCTACTATACCTCAAAGGGTCATGGGAGTGCATTTCAATGGGTCTAGGGGTACCTCCTGGGCCCCCTCTTGTAAGAGCATCAATGAATCCACGAACCACTGTACTTCTTCTGGCTGTTCCAAACTCATCTAAGGTATACCTAGAAGAGACAAGTTATTAACAAACAATTGTTTTTCTTTCTAATGACTGTATCAAATTATTCATGCACTTTCTCAGATAAGCTATCTAGTGCCTTTTTTTACATAATTCTCTCAAGCAATACTGTTTTAAACAACAAAAAATATTTAATAAGTAACTTTATCATAGTGATAATCTAATCCAAAGGTGCATCGTTTTATGTCTAAGAAGGAATGCAGGGATTTACAATCAGTAATAGAGGTTGTGGCAATAAAGGATAGAGCACGGGATTTGGTAAAAGTGAAACTCCAGACAAGGTGGAAACCCTGAACTCTACAGGTTTCAGCGCCCACCCCGCGTCCAAAACACGACACTCCACTGCACAGAGAAGGCCTAGGATGTGGTTCTCAGAGGCTGGTTATAGTTAGAACCCTGCAATCCAAAATATGACTTTTCCTTCCACATTAAAAAATTCTCATGTATATTATCACAGTATACCACCAAAATTTGTCCAAGATATACCAATCATATTTAAAAGCTTATTTTGACTCCAGTGTTAAACATATTACATGCTACTTGAATTTACTGACCAGCTATGCATTAAGAGCAAATACTTTCTTTTACACATATTTACAAGTTATCAATTACAGTTGGCGGGGCCGGGGTCGGGGTGGGGGGGGTGCGGGAAGACTTGCAAGGCTGAGGAAATTTTTAGGGAAAAAAGATTCTGAACTAGAAAATCAGACCATCTGGGGTCAAATGATAGGATGGCTTAAAGTTACCAAGAGTCCCTGTTTCCTTGACTAGAATCAGCCTTTGTTTCTGTCAGCACTGGGTGACCAATTGAAAGTTCTGTTTTAAACATACACAGGAAAACAAAATATTTTTTCGCAGTCTCATGTCAGCAGATTCTAGATCCATGAACTTTTAAATCTCTAAACAGTACTCTACTAAATGTTGAGAATTATTTCATTACCCTAGATATAAAGAAAAGTTACAAGAATTTCACCAAAGTTTTCAAAAGAATATCTTAGGCTACACTGCTTTCTTTAATATGCTTTTGATTTAATGAAAAACCCACATTTTTTTTTTAACAGAAGAAAGCTAGAAAGGGGGGATATTTTTAAATAAAATTGTAGTGAAGCAATCAATAGCGATAAATTGTTAGGACTCTGAGCCTTTTTAAAGGACTGTGTAGCAGTAACCAGATCATGGTTGTGTGTGGTTTTTGGTTTTAGTTAAAAGGAAATGGTTTTGAAATTCCATGCAGTGACATACCAGCAATACGTCAAGATGAAAATGCAGTTATCAAGCTAAGTTTTGCAAAAGTGCACAGTTGCTTTACATTCACTTTGTTTTTTTAAACAAATTAGAACCAAGGTGCTTATTTCTATTTCTTCCCTCATGCTCTTAAAAATATAAATGCTTAGGGTACATAATGCCTTCCTTTAAAGACCATCAGTTCTATGAAGTGACTTGTGATCAGATTTATGACAGCACAAAATTCATAAACTTTTTAAATATGTAAAACTAATCTTCCCCTAGGGACCCAAATGACTGCAAAACAAACAGAAACAATGTAATTTCTGTTTCTAGGACTATTCACTGTGACCCCAGGTTTTATCAGAAACCAGTGAATCCACGGGCATTTTAAATGTGGGGAGGGGCAATTTTAAAAGTCTGAAAAACACTAGAATCTAATCTTTTTACTATAAAATATAAATAAACATTAATATTAATGCTAATTTTCCTGCAATAGATGTAATTTGAAGCAAGAAGGGCATGAGCTAAAATGAACCTTCAGTGATATCTGAAGACATGAAATCTCTTTTCCCAGAGACAGAAGAAAATTTCCTTGACCAAAAAGAGATTCTTTTCCAACACAGGTCAAAAACTGAAAATGTAGCTTTACAAAAGTGAAATGTTAAAATTATGTAACTATTCTAAAATGACTCTAGTTAAAATAAAAAATCAAAATCCCCAGTTTTTATGTTTATCCATAGTAGAAAAGGAAAAATTCTGGTCAAAAAGCAAATAAAATGAAAAAATTTTGCCCCAAAAAATTAAAAGATAAAAGAATAATGTAAAAGACTCTCTAAGAAATGCAACAAAGAATGAAAAAGAATCAGCATTGTACGTATTACTATATCCTTTGATAATTGACATGTTGAAGGTTTACCAGTGGAAAGAAAACAATATCAATTTGTCCATTTCTACTTGCAGTAAATTTCTTTTTGAAAACATTTCTGTACTTGATGTATTAAAAGTTAATAATGCATTATTAACATTCCAGTTATATAAGACCTAACAAAACCTGAGTATGGCAATTTTCCCCAAAGACTTCAATAATTGACGTTTTCTTAAATGTGATACCTATACATTTGAGACCCAATATTGGTGATGGACAGGGAGGCCTGGCATGCTGTGATCCATGGGGTCGCAAAGAGCTGGACACGACTGAGCGATTGAACTGAACTGAACTGAACTGAACTGAATGAACAGTGAAGCGTCTCTACTTTACTTAAATCAAGTTCATATAGTGCCATCTGGTGGTTAACATAATACATCATAAAGTTTTTCCCTAAATATAAAGAAACCACCACTTTGAAAACAGGTGATTACTTAAGATGAAAGGCCAATTTTCTCTTTTTTCAACGTTATCTTATGGTACATAACTGGCACTAGAAGTCTCTTTCTTCCACATTCAACATCCAAGTGTTTAACCATCCACATGGCACTATGGCCCCATCCCGTGTGTCCTGTGAGGATACATCTTCTTTGCCTATTTTAGTTCTATTGTCTCTCAGGCATTTGCCTTGCTGTCAGGCAGGCTTCAAATACACTTCTCTTTAGCTGAGAATTTTCCACTTTATCTCCTTTCAAAATAAAAATAATACTCAATGCTTTGAGATGAGTAAAGCATGATGCTCAACACCTTATGGGAACATTCCAATTTTAATCTTCACAACAACCCAGCAAGAGAGGCACTATTTTTATCCTCATTTCACAGCTCAAGGAAACCAAAGCCTATAAAGGTAGGTGGGTTCATCAAGAAAATCTAAAATCTAAAAATAATAACAGCCTAACTCAGAGCCCACCATTTAAACCATTATGCGATACTGCTCCTTTCCAAGTGTCGACCAAGAATCAAAACTTAGAAAAAATACATTTATATGGTAGAAGTCAGCTGACCTTTTCAGAGGCCCAAAATACATGAAAGACTTTTTAAAAAACAATTAACCTTGTGAACAAATATGAATCTATGGACACTGTTACACATTATTAAACAAGCACCAAATGTTTCAGGTACTATAATTATAATCAAACACCAATACCCTACAGTGAAAAAACTGGGAAAGAAATTTCGAAGATGATAAGATCTGCTAGCTGATGGTCAATAATGAGCATCAGCTTCTCCCAGGAACCCGCACAACATGGAGATCTATTGTGATCCAGCTCCTGCTACTAACCCAGCAACCAGTTTCTGCGAGTTCCTAAAAGCACATGTTCCTCCTCAACTCATGCACTAGCACCTGCTGTTCCCTCAATCTGAGATGTTCTCTCCTCCCTTTTCATCTTGGAAAATGCTTGTCAACCTTCAGAACTCATTTTATACCTACTTCCTGGAGGAAACGTTCTCTAATGTACACCCCTTTCCCCACCAGATTACTCGAGCCACAAAGCACTTGAGACTTGACTTTTAGAAAAGCAATTAATGTATACATTATAGTGGATTTGTTTACGTCTGGTTCCATAAAGTAAAGCAAGTTGAAGGCAATGTTTTATTGACGGTAAGCCTGCCACACTTAGAACTGTGCTTAACATATAGTGAGTACTCAGTAAGGAGCACTGGGGTGTGATTCTTTTATGTATCTGTCAAGTCCCAGCATTTGTGTTCTACAATCTAATTACAGGACAAGTAATGTTCTAATCAGAAAACAGAGTAAGAAGGAAATCTTCTAAAAACATAGAAGCATATAAAAGACACGACTCAGAGCAGGACTGAATGCATGAGTTCTCTGGCTTTCTGTTTCCTGAATTTGAACTCCCTACTTGGTCTTCCCATTTTCAAATATGAAATATGTCTGGACATTTCCCAGACATTAAAAATGAAAAAGGATTTGAAGGAATGGATGAGAAAGATGTGGTACATATATACAATGGAATATTACTCAGCCATTCAAAGAATGAAATAATGTCGTTTGCAGCAACATGAATGGACCTAGAGAGTGTCATACTGAGTGAAGTAACTCAGATAGAGAAGGAGAAATATCATATGACAATCTTTATATGTGGAATGTAAAAAGAAATGATAACAGATGAACTCACTTACAAAACAAAAAGATGCACAGACTTAGAAAATGAACTTGTGGTTGATGAGGGGAAAGGGGTAGTTAGGGAGTTTGAGAAGGTCATGAACTCATTGCTATATTCAAAACAGATAACCAACAAGGACCTACTATACAGCACATGGAACTCTACTCAATGTTATATGCAAACCTGGATGAAAGGGAGGTCTAGGGGAGAATGGATACATGTATATGTATGGCCGAGTCCCTCCCCTGTTCACTTGAAACTAACACAACATTGTTAATCGGCTATACCCCAATACAAACTAAAAAGTTGAAAGACTGAAGACAAAAAAAGGACTTGAAAAGTAAAAGAAAACTAAAACACAGAAAAATAAAAAATACATAAGTTAATAATGTGTGAAGTTCTTATCCAAAGTATTATCACATAGCACCTGGCTGCCGTAACTTACAGGATTAAAAACCTGAACTCTTTCTTTTCTGGAATCCTACTAATGGAATTCTAATTTTAAATCTTCCCGAGTCCCTCCCCTGTTCACTTGAAACTAACACAACATTGTTAATCGGCTATACCCCAATACAAACTAAAAAGTTGAAAGACTGAAGACAAAAAAAGGACTTGAAAAGTAAAAGAAAACTAAAACACAGAAAAATAAAAAATACATAAGTTAATAATGTGTGAAGTTCTTATCCAAAGTATTATCACATAGCACCTGGCTGCCGTAACTTACAGGATTAAAAACCTGAACTCTTTCTTTTCTGGAATCCTACTAATGGAATTCTAATTTTAAATCTTCTTTTTTCATCTCTGGGTAATTATTATTTATTACTCTATTTGACCTCCATCCCTCCAGGGCAGTGTTAATATAGGAGTTTTAGTTACATACAATTTCAAAGTAATTAATGAGATAGCATAATGCAGCAAAGACTTTAATGCAGCAAAGACCTTAACCTCTGCATGAATAAGAGGTAGTCCAGATATTGGGACATCTTGATTTTCATATCTGTGTTGCATTCTACAGCATGTAATATGGAATTAGGCTGATGCTCCAATGGTACCCAGATGAGATAAAAATGTCACCGTAAATTATTATATCATTCAAACTATTGTATATAAATTTGATTAACACTGAAATTCAATATAAATTACCAAATAAAAAGTAGATTTGCTTTTTTATTATTTAGGAAAAAGTCACTCACTTATATAAGACAGGTCTGTCCTGCAGGGCTTCCATTGCCTGAGTTAGCACTGGAGATATGTCACATGATTCTTGTGTCAGTGTTCTGCATTCACCTGAAAAAGGGTTAACACTGAAACACTTGTTAAAATACAATTAGGCCTTAATTATGTCCATTGTACAACCAGAGTCTAAATACTGCATTTAAAAAATGCTTGGAAAAGCCTAGAGAACATACCAATAAAAAACCAGTTAATGCTGCCAAACTAAACATTCAAGCTTAAATATCTAACTTCAGTAGACCACATCTGCTATGCAGTATAAAACGTATTATTATAAGAAACCAGAGTTCTGAAGAAACCAATCAATGAATAAATACGCATTAAATAACTGCTATACACAGAGCAATGAAAAGAAGGGAAGAGAATACTAAATATCCATCACCAGTTCTTTACCCCAGGGGCAATCTTTAAGCAGTCTGCTAGAATGTTTATATGGGTAACTAATACATACTAGTAAAATTAAATTTACTATTCTATCGACAAAATACTGATTGAATGTCTACTCTGTTCAAAAAACAGGACATGTTCAGAAATTCCCGACCTTTGCTAGGTGAAGACCTCACGTTCCTTTGTTTTTAACAGGTAATTCTACCAACACTCTATTGAAACATTTTAAAACACAACTAAATACATAGAACCACTTGTGGTAGGCAAAATAATGGTCCTCCCAAGATCCCTAATCACTGAAACCTGTGAATATGTTATTTTATGAAGCAAAAGGGGCTCTGCAGATGGAATTAAGAGGATGGAGCTTAAAGAGGGACATTTTCCCAGATCACTTAAGAGGGTCCAAGGTAATCATCTAGGTCCTAAAAGTGGAAGAGGCTAGGAGAAAAGTCAATCAGAGATATGAGATGGAAGAAGAGGCAGGAGAGATTCAAAGCGAGACAGCGACTCCGTGCACCATTGCTGGCGTCAGCGATGGAGGAAGGGGCCACAAGCCAATGCCGGCGGCCTCGAGAAGCTGGGAGAACCCTCGGGGACAGCAGGCGAGGGAACTCAGAGCGCAGTCCTCAGGCTCAGAGAACTGAATTACGCCAGCAGAGTGAGCGAGCAGGCGACAGGTTATTCCCTAGAGCCTCCAGAAACGAGTGCGCATCTTCTCATTTTAGCATGGTGACTTCTGACTATACAACTATAAAATGATACATTTATGTTTTGTTTTAAGCCATTAAGATTGAGACAAATCTGTTACAGCAGCAACAGAAAATTAATTCACCATAATGGTTATATTAACAACAGGGATGTCTAATCAACCTTAAGATAATCTGGGGCACAAATACTGACTTTGTTATTTTTTCATTCCCATCCTTAATCATATATAGTACCCAAATGATAGCAGTTATTTAAGGGGCAAATACAAAGACAGTATGCTCAAATATTTTATTACTAAGATCAAAATATGTTATTAAATAAATACTAAGTGAAATAAAATCACGCATTCATGAATCCAGACTTCATCAAAAAAACCACTTACTTTGAGCCCATCGGTAAAGTCTTTCATAAGATGTTTCCTGAAGCAAGGCCATTTGCTCCATAATTTCCAAACTAAAAAAATTAAAGATTATAATTTATTTAAAACTTTCAGCCAATAGCTAAATCTAAGAATGTAATTATTTTAATTACAGAATGATTCGGTTATAGCCTATTAACTTTTTATCATTTTGTGGAATAACTTTTTAGTAATTTTTTAATAATTAAATAAATGTTGCCAAGTTTTAATACCATCACTTAGACACTCAACTGCTGTTTTATGCTAAACATCAGGGTATAACTTCCTCTTTATCCAAAGACACATAAAGATTAAACTCTTATTTCACATAATGCCATACACTTTAAGAACCTAGAAAATCTTTAAAATTTTGGAAATACAAGAGGCAACACAGTCATGAACTGAAAAGGCTACTCACCCTGCTGTTTGTTGGTTTGTACGCAAGAGAACTTTAACATCATTATGAATCTGTTTTACTCTTCCCAGTGCCTTGAAAAAATCCTTTAAAATTAAGAATGTAACTTTAAAGTTTCCATGTTTTCAGGTAAAACTGTATTACTCTAAATTGAAATATCATGACAAAGGAAAAAGAAATTATTCTACCTATTCTAATGAAGTCTTCTTTATACTAATTTCAACTTGCTCTAAATTTTTATAAAATGTATAATAGATATTTAGTGAAGTGAAAGTTGCTCAGTCGTGTCCGACTCTTTGCGACCCCATGGACTATACAGTTCATGAAATTCTCTGGGCCAGAATACTGGAGTGGGTAGACTTTCCCTTCTCCAGGGGCTTTTCCCAACCCAGGGATCAAACCCAGGTCTCCCACATTGCAGGTGAATTCTTTATGAGCTGAGCCACAAGGGAAGTCCATTATTCACATTTTAAAATAGATATTAATTAGGTGTATACTATATGCCAAATAGTGTACTAAGATGTGGAGATAAAGTTTATAAAGGCAAAATCTGTCTTCAAGAATTATACAGTTTTGTGAAAGAGTAATGTAAACCTGAAGATTATAACATAAAGAAAAACATGCTATGTATTACATATCTTATGACGTAGAAAACTCAGCATGGCTCCATCATCACAGGAGATGATGGTTTATGAGTCTATCATATACCCTTTCTGGCCCCCTCATCCAGGAGTGAAATGCAAAGTTGGATGCATAAACATACATGAATTGACTGATGCTAAACTCCCAGCTTTTTTTCCCTCTATAAAAAGGTACTGGAGCCTTAGTTTCCAGATAGCCACAAACAGTGTTCCAACCATGAAAAGTAGCTGATGAGTTATTTTTCTTTGATGAATAAAAAAAATTTTTTAATGTTTTAAAATCCCTAATACTGTTAATTATTTCTGCTGCGGCGGGGAGGTGGGGGGGGAGGGAGGTGCAATGTCACATATTTAAAATGCACAAAGTTCCTCAAACTATAAGGGCAATAAATACCAACAGGTAAAGCACCTACAATTCTCTCACCTACTTAACACCCTACACTCAAGGGAGGTTCCATCCCAGCCTAGGCAGTAAGATAACAGTGACATCTATCAAGTGTCACTCAGTAAGCCCCCCACCCTGGCCCTCCTCAGGAACTCTTCCTGCTCTCAGAGCCCAGGCACAGGGTTGCAGTTCCTCCCAGTTAGGACACTGAAAGATTCTTCTCAAGAAAAACTGAGTATCTTCAAGGGGAAAAAAAGAGGAATGATACTTTTCCTTGTTGTTTAGCGTTTTGAGAGGCTTTATAGCTCCAAGTTTTGGAAAGAATGGCATGGGTTCAGAAAAGGATCAGATGAAAAGGTAAGGAGTTTCTAATCTCAGGAAAGACCAAAAGTTGTGAAAGAAAGAACATGTAATCATTGCAACATCACTGCAATGTAAACAGAACATGCCATATAACTGTACTGTGAGGCAGAAGAAAAGAGAACATGTATGTGTGGAGGGGAAGGAGCCACGGAGGAGAGGCTATTTACTCTTAGCTCATGGTAGGAAATCCATAGAAAATAGTTAACATCGATATCCAAAGCATACTCCTTTCACCAGAGGTCCAGAATACAGAATCTACAAAAGAAGCAATTAACAAGATTGAAAATGGTTGCCAAAGGACTTAGAGATGGAAAGGAGTGGAACGATGAGGTGAATGTAGGCTTTCCTTATAAGCCTTACTGTACTCTGACTCCTAAAAAACAAAAAAGTACACATACTGCTTTGAAAAAAATAAGGTAATTAAAATCTGTACCTTATATTGCTAAGCTTAAAAACATTTTTAAATCAAAAAAAATTTTAGGTGGTAAAATAAATCACTCTTAAAAAAGAGTAATTTCTCTATAACATCTGTAACTGCTGTTCTTTAAGTGATTTCAACAGAAAGCAAAGTACCTCAGTGATGGGTCCTTCTCTTGTGCCTCGGAGAAGACTCATTTCGTCAGAAGTCAGCTGGAACTTGGATAAGAAGGCATCTGCCACTTGTGCTCTTATTTCTAATCTTTGACTGTAATATTTTTAAAAAGGCAACAGAAAATCAAGCACATTACGCATTTTACACAGCTTTAAAACAAGTTACATCTCTCATATAACTTTTAAGACAAAGACGTGAAACTGTCTCATTATCTTCAGAAGCCTCATTTCTGCCTCAAATATTAGCAGCTCATCAAGCATGTAAGTGATACAATTAGCTGACACTGTCCTACCTCTGCAGAGGGCACGGTAAGAGGCCACAGTAAAATGATGAACTAACCTTTATGTAAAAGGAGAAATAAGTTCATGAATGGTACAAGGAATACAAATCCTTAGCCACTTATATGTATGTGAATAGTTCACCTTATGGTAACAAAGTTGTAAGAGAGACATAAGTCAATTAATTTCTTCTCAGTCCCTAAAAGTTCTAAGCCTTTGAAGTTTGTACATGAAGTACACAACAAATCAAAAATCAAGCCTATTATTTACTTTAGGTTAGAAACTGAAGTCAAGAACTCATCCAGTAATTCTTCATTAATAAAAAAAAAAAATCACTCCTTCATTTTGTCTTCCCCACTTTTTCTGAACATTATCATAACAAACAAACAAAAACAATCTTTTCAAATTATATTATCTGAGTGCAGTCAACTCAGACTAGCTGACAATTAGGAAAAAGCACACTTGAGTCTGCAATTCAACCTGCAGGGACCTGCACGACTGAGTTGGGTCACAATCTAAAGGCAAGTTGGGAATACAAACCACAAGAACAGAAATTCAACATTCCTGCCTTCTAGATTTTAGATGTGAAGATATACAAATAAAATTAAAGTGTTTCACTAGTAGTATTCACAGGGCAGTAATATTCTCCAATTTCAAAATATTCAAATGAAACTGAACAAAGATAATCATTAACACTACCTAAACAGAAAGAACAATGCACGCATCTTCGTTTTGTTTGTTTCCAGGTTTAAGTTCACAATGTCAAAAGCTCCTGCCGAATGACAAGAGCTAAAAGAAAAAGTCCTCCAGGTGGCAGTATGCTCTATTTTTCTCAAATGACAATGCAAATCACCTACTTAAATCTATACAGATTTAAAAACCTATGTCCTTAATTAACTTATTAAGTGCTGATACCTACAAGTTACCTTAACATGTTTTGTTTTAGACTTTTAGAAGCTCAAATCATTATCATACAGGATTTAAATTAATTATAACACTTAATAAAATTCCTTGAGACTATACAAATTAACCGTTTCAATGAAAATCTTTTGGGAGTTTCTTTTGGATCTATCTTCAGTCAGTTTACCAGGCACAAAGGAAAATTAATCTCTTTAGTTTACCGTTTCACTATGTTTTAACTGAATCTAGTACGGTTGACCCTTGAATAATGTGTGGGTCAGGGACTCCTACCCTACCCTGTACAGAGGAAAATCTGTATATAATGTTACAGCCAGCCCTCTGGAGTAGAAGATTCAACCCACTGTGGACTGTGTAGGACTACCAAAAAAAAAAAGAATATATATATATATATAAGTGGACCTGTGCAGTTCAAACCTGTGTTGTTCAAGGGTCAGCTGTTAACTCAGTATGCACACATACTGAGAGAAAATACACCACATTGTTAACAGTAGCTATGTCTAGGTGGTAAAGTTAAACTGATTGTAATTTTCTTCAAGCTTTCAACACGTAAATGAAAGGAGAAGAAGAAAAATGTGATTTTTGCCTGCCTTCTCCTAACCTTTTACAGAGCAATAAAAGAATATGTATCACATATGCTCTGGATTTTTACATGTATATCTGGGCAAAATAAATTGCTTTTATATTTTTATGTAAACTTACAGTAAGTACTTTATAGCAAATAACACAATCAAAATTAAAACTATTAAAAAATAAGAAAGAATGAGAACATAAACAACACAGCTGAGGAAAACTATCTAATTAAGTGCAGAACAGCTTCTGTTTCCAGTTGCCAAAGCCACTGAAGAAACAAGATGTACCATACACCTCTGTCTAAAAAGCGGAGAGGGATATGGGAGGTAGTACTCCTTGAGGTATGTCGGGCAGTGTGTTCAGGACTCAATATAAATCACTTATTCTTCATAACAACCCTTCCATGTAACTTATTATTCCTTCTTTTCAGATGTGATAACTGAGCCTGAGGCAGTTAACAAATGACTCATATAAGAGTACAAATCTAATGAGCTCTTACCTAAGATTTATATTAGAATTCAGCTCTTCAAGGTCTACATCCTTTCCACTGTAACATACTACACCTCAAAGAAAAACATTAACATTCACCATAGAGAAATCTGGCTGATGGGCCTTTTCAAGAGACCAGAAAAATACATAATAAATAGTGATTTCACCAATATTAAAAAACAAAGTTCATATTTATTCACTCAAAATCACTTACTGAATCTACAATGTGTTTTGCACTGAGACATAAAAGAGAAAAAGAGGCTGTTACTGTTCTCAAGGAGCTAAGCTTCGTAGGAAAGAGACTCAATCAAACCAACAATTAGTTACAAGAGACTGTACTACATACTAAAGATGGCAAGTTCAGTTCAGTTCAGTTCAGTCGCTCAGTCGTGTCCGACTCTTTGCGACCCCATGAATTGCAGCACGTCAGGCCTCCCTGTCCATCACCAGCTCCCGGAGTCTACTCAAACTCATGCCCATCGAGTCAGGGATACCATCCAGCCATCTCATCCTCTGTCGTCCCCCTCTCCTCCTGCCCCCAATCCCTCCAGCATCAGGGTCTTTTCCAACGAGTCAACTCTTCACATCAGGTGGCCAAAGTATTGGAGTTTCAGCTTCAGCATCAGTCCTTCCAATGAACGCCCAGGACTTATCTCCTTTAACTCAGGCCAGGAGAAGAAAATGGCAACCCACTCCAGTACTCTTGCCTGGAAAATACCACGGATGGGGGAGCCTGGTAGGCTGCAGTCCATGGGGTTGTGAAGAGTCGGACACGACTGAGTGACTTCCCTTTCACTTTTCACTTTCATGCACTGGAGAAGGAAATGGCAACCCACTCCAGTGTTCTTGCCTGGAGAATCCCAGGGACGGGGCAGCCTGGTGGGCTGCCATCTATGGGGTCACACAGAGTCGGACACGACTGAAGCGACTTAGCAGCAGCAGCAGAAAGGGTGTGAATAAACTTTGTACACAGGATTGGTGATCTGTTACTCTCTTGGTTTTAGACATAACTTTCAATTGAATCCACACTTGTTCTCATGTCAGCCAACAAAAACATTGGAGAAAAATTCACAGGTGGGTCTCTAATTGCAAGGAAACTTCTCTTTCCAAAGATTTGTTGTGATATAAAAACATGCTAATCTGATGCTCAAGGCACATGCTTAGAAATTCAGCACCTGCTTTTCCTTAGAGCCGACTGCCCTGTGAAGCCAACCATCTCTTCAGCACACTGTGCAATTTTCCTCACCATGGTCCATGCACCAATGGGAAAGAGATGTGTGCTGACAGAACAGTTCTGTGCCTTGACAGCAGCAGAGCACATAATCATTAAGTTAAAAATAAAAGGCAATTGTGAAAAAAGATAATAAAATTACTAAACAATTTAAAAATCTACTGCTTGTTTAAAAGAGCAGTCAGTTTTGAATTATACAGCAAACAAACAACACATCACTTCCAAAAAGAGATAATCTCAGTCCCAGCTATCAATACTCCTAAACACTGTTTGTATTTGTTTTACTCTTGGATAATAGCTTAAAACCTCATATTTTGTATCATTTTTTAATCACTTTTTTGATTATTTTAACTCTGCTTTGAAGTCATTTATAGTTTTCTGAGTTATCTCCAAATTAATGAAGAATTGATTATATGAAGAAAAGCTTACCTTTCAGCTTGAAGCTTAGTGGTTTTTACTATTAAATCCTGAGTCTGTTCCTTTGCTGCCTAAAATTATAAACATATCTAATATTAGCACATTTCAATTTTATTATACTTCAGAAAACTAACACTGCCAGTTACTGGAGTTCAACAGCAAATGAGATCACACTCCAGAACTCAAAGATATAAAAAAGGCCCAAGAAATTGAAACAGATGTTTTAAGGCTCACATACTACATTTAAGAACTCACTCAGGCAGAAAACAACACAATATTGTAATTATCCTCCAATGAAAAATAAATTTAAAAAAAGAAGAACTCACTGAGAATTCCCAATACACACATAACGCTAAGGCTTACAAGAAAAAAAAGGTGTCACCATGATAGAATTTAATAGTTCCTGATGCTTTTTAGTGAAACAGAGGCACTGCTAGGGCCAGTTAAGGATGGAAAACATGACTTCAGTTATGGATGTGCTGAGCTGAGCCACCAGGAAATGTCTGAATGAAGTTATCACTGATACTCAATAAGTCACTGATACTCAATATACAAAAAATACCCCTCATAGAGGGTTCTGGTGAAGATTAGAGAAAGCCCCACCTACAAGACAGAGTGCTGTTCCTAACCAAGTCATACTAAGTAATCCTCTCTCCCCTGAACCAGAGCTGAAAGGATCAGGAATGAAAAGGTATTTCAAAGACTAGGAAAACATTTATAAGGTGAACTGAAAAAAAGCAACAAGTGTAGCCAATGAGATTCTCTCTCAGTGACCTGAACTGGGCAGTATTATAAAATAAGGCAATCAGTAATGAGAGGAGAAACAAGTCAGTGGTTGGAGACAGGTGGAGACATAAAGGCATTAAATGAATCAGAAGTATGAAGATCAATGCTAACTCTGCAGCCAAACTAGGAGTTTAGACTGCTTTAATAAATGGCCCTAGACTTACAGACATTTTCCTGAGATATTTTTTAAAGTGAGTATAAATTATAATTAAGCTGGGTCTTCACTGGGCATAGCTTTAATCTGAAAGTATTCCTAAGGCTTTCTATGAAGGAATTTATTTCTGCTGCATTTGTGGAATATTATGGAATTCAAAAGTTTATTAAAACTTCACACAGTTATCTCTATACTGGCAAGATCAAAATACAAAGGTTTCTGGAGTTAACTGCACAATATTAGTAAACCATCACCGAAGAAACACAAAGAGAGTTATAATTTTAAAAAATTTACATTCGAACTTACTACAGGGCATGATGTATCAGATAGCCACACATTCTGTAGACTTATCTAGCAATTTCTGAAAGTTTACCCTGTTATCAGGAACTATGCTAAAACGCAGTCATTATACCAGACCTGTAGGCGACTTGTCATATCTTGACAACAGCTGCTCATTGCTTGAACATCTTCATGTATGCTTTCAAGTTCCTGAAAAGGATAAAAGTAACATTAGATATATAGTTAAAGCATTAGGTATAGTTAAAAAATTAGATATAGTTAAAGAAATTTCTCTTCTCTTAGCCAAATCTTTATTCTTGTTCCATGATATTCTTTTGCCAAAGCATGACAAAAGATTCTGTATTTAAGACTGAAAATGATTAAAAAGATTAACACCTAGAATATGAAAAGATATTTTAAAAAGCTAGCATATTTCTTTTTAGAAAGGGTCTGACAATATGAAGATGGAAAATGTTTTAAGAATATGAATACATATTTATTCAGATTCTCATACTAAGAATTTATCCTAAGAAATTAATCAAATAAGTGTGCAACAATATATGTAAGAGATGATCAACATAGAGTTACCTAAAACAAATGGCAAGTATGAAACATTTCCAACCACACAATGGAAATCTGTGCATCCATTAACAATGGTAATATTTATGTGTGTGTGTGTGCACACACACGTGTGTGTTATTATGGGAAGATGTCTATATAAGGTTAAAAAAGGGCTCATAAAACACATACAACACCTCCCCAAGTTTCTTTCAGAAAAATACATGTATATGTGTGCAGAAGAACACAGGGAAAGTCCTCAAGGGCCACACAATAAAATACTGACAGGTTATTTTTGTGTAATAGAATCATAAGTAATAGTTCTATTTCTGACCTGCTTATCCTAAACAGCTTTGAAGTGAATAAAAGAATGATTTCAAAATAGCAATTAATATCAGCAACAGCAAACTGGTACAAATAGACAGGCAAACTAATCTATTTCCTTAAATCTCACTGTATAATCTAATGAGACTAGCACTATGATATTACTAGCCAACTAGTTCAAGAATAACTTATTCCTAATATTTACTGTAGCAAATGACAACCCATTCCAGTATTCTTGCCTGGAAAATCCCATGGACAGAGGAGCCTGGCGGGCTACAGTCCATGGGGCTGCAAAGAGTGGGACATGACTGAGGGACTGAGCATGCACTACAGTACACCAAATGAATCGGATTTGTAAATATACAGTATCAGTCATGGACACAAATATGCTTGACGAGCTTCAGTCCACTGCAGTCATTCTTACTGATCCTCAAACCATCCTATCTTTAACCAGTGGAAACCCCTTAACTCAGCTCCACAGTCCTTTCGACACTTCCCAGGGGTCTTTTATGGCTTCCTACCTTTGGTACTTCTTTTCAGTGGGAAATGGTGTTTCAAGAGTACACTTTAGATGTGCTCATCACTACTATCCCTCCCTAGTATTATGAACACTACCACACTTCCCTTTTAACCTTCCAGATTATTAGACTTCAGCCAATGAAATTCTACTGCACAGTTAAAAACAGTCTATGCTGGACCTCCCTGGTGGTCTATGGTTAAGAATGTGCCTGCCAGTGCAGGGGAAACAGGGTTCAATTCCTGGTCTGGGAAGATCCCACAGGCAGCAGAACAACTAATCTCATGCGCCACGACTACTGAAGCCTGAGCACCTAGAACCTGTGCACTGCAATGCAGAGTAGCTCCCACTCATCGCAACTAGAGAAAGCCCGAGTGCAGCAGTGAAGACCCAGTGCAGCCACAAAGAAACAATAAATCTTTAAAAAAAAAATAGCCTTGTGCTTATTAAGCATCCGGTGGTACCATGTATGACATTTTCATACAAATCACATAGAAATATTAACTATGTAATATCACTCTAACTTAATATAATTAATAAAATATGACATAATAAATAAAATTCATCTTCACCCTATGGTGAGTAGACTGCTCACTCAAATATAATGAATAATTATTTATTAGCTGAAGTAACTGATTTTAATTAATCTGAAAATTTCATAATTTAGGATGCAGTAAGGTTACTTAGTCCCTATTAATCTCCAGTGGAAAAATAGTTATCCAAGGGAGGTGTACTCAACGAAAGACTATTTCTACTGGAAAATCACTCAGAGAAATGGTTTTCTGTTGCTGTTTAAAATGCTAAAATTCGTAAAAGAATTTCCCAGAGCAAATGTTTCAACGTTCTAAGAAGCAGCATTTGTGGAGGTTACGGATTTAGAAATCACACCAGTCCAAAGAAAGATGCTGCTGAAGGAATTGTTAATAGTTAAATTTTCTATTTGAACATGGTACACAAATAGCAAGCACATCAACTCTATTCATAAAAAAACTTAGCACAGAGCCAATCATACAGTAAGCGCTCAATAAATGCTAAATGAAAAGAGTTTACATACTTCTTTCACTTCCTTGAAAATGCTTACAAACTCTTCATTGATGGCTAAACTCCTGCGTTCAATATCTCCACGTAAATTTCTTCGAGTCCGCAAACTATTTTCAACAAAAAAGGTTGACAGTGCCTTAAGAGCTTCCAACATCTCCTACATAATTGGTAATAAAAGAATATTATTGGGACCAATTTTCAAATGTCTTTCTAATCTTAGGCAAAAACTTACTGAAATCATTTCCCAAGAATTTATTTCCATTACACAATCCAAAAAATACTGGAAGACCTTCACATTAGCGAACAGCAAACTTATTTCTGAAACACAGTAAGGACATATTTACTTGTGCATCATGACATATATACAAGGTTATTCATTGCAGGATTGTTTGAAATTGCAAAGATTAGAAAGAACCTTAATGTTCATCTAAAAAGGATTGGTTAAAGAGACTGATACAGCCATTGAAAAGAAGAGGAAATTCTGTATGTACTTACATAGCGTGAGCTTCAAGATATAGGTAAGTGAAACAAAAAGTTACAGAAACATCTGTAACACCAAATGTTTAAAAAAAAGAAAAAGGGACTATGTACAGTACATGTATATTTACTGGTGCCTGCATAAACCAACTCTGGAAGGCTATATCTAAAAAATAAGTACTAATGGTAGCTTCTAGGCTGGGAACTGAGTAACTGGGAGCCAAACTTAGACTTAAGAGAGGAAGGTTTCTCTGAGACAACTTCTGAACCAAAATAATTCAAGCAAGATTTGACAGTGGCCAGTGGCTTAGCCCAAGATGGTCTAAGCAGATAAAAAAGAGATACTCCAAAAAAATTAGAATATATTTTTCAAGATTGAGCCTACAGAATTTGTAATGGACTGGATGTGAGATGTGGGGGAAAAGAAAACAGGAATATAAAAAGCACTTATATGCTTCTTGCATGAAGGGTAAATGGTGAGGTTCTTTACTAACAGGGGAAGAGAACCAGTTTGGAGAAAAATCAAGAATTCTGGCCATGCCGTCTGTGTGATATGGATCAGGTATCCAACTGGAGATGTCATGTAAACAACTGGAGCTTGGTAGAGATGTCAGGAACAGGGTTAGAAATTAGAGAATCATCATGCTTTTTACTATTTCAAAAGCTATGAGACTAAAAGAGTTCTTTAGCAAAGAGAACATGGGTAGAGGGCAGAAGACCAAGCCCATTGTGTCCAATAGCACCCTAAATCCTACAGACAGAATTCTTACACCTCAACTAATACATGTTCAAACAGGCTGAACTTTCCATGTTTTGATTACGCTATCATAAAAACACTGGACACATTTGGTTGCTCACCTAAAACTAACACTATACTGCAAATCAACTATACTTCAATTTTAAAAAATGGCTGGAATGACAAAAACTGTAAGGCTATTTAAACTCAGTTTCATATTTAAGAGACAGAAAAAAATACCTTTAGCTATAAATATTTATAGCAAAAAGTAGATAAAATAAAGCTGTTTCTTTTCTGGAACACAGCCCTGATACGTCCTGGAGTCGAGGCTAAATGAGTGGTCAGTAAATGTTAAATGAACAAAATCACACAGACTAGGGGGCAAATGAACCCAGACACTCTCTCCATAACTTAGTTTTCTCTTGAGTAAAAAAGAAATAATGCTAATTTACCAGAGCAGCTGTATTAAAAGAGAAGATTCATGTCAATAATAGACACCTGAAACCCTTAATAAACTGTATAAAATTAACATTTATTGAGAATTAACAAGAAACAACTCCTGCAGCGCTGTGCTGAGCATTTCACCTGGTTTCTGTCATTGAACCCTCGCAAAAACACTGAGAAAGTAACTTGCGGTATTTCCAATTTAGAGATTTAACATCAACTTAGAGAAGTTAAGGGACTTACTCAAACCAGAATGCACCAGTTTGCTGGTTATATCTAGTAAGTGGTGGTCCTAGAGACCACCTTTCTTAGTCCTCATAGTATAATGTGGACCATCTTTCTTACTCATCATAGTATAATGTTATATTTTACACACAAATTCTTATCGATAGCTTACTGTCAGATGCCTACACATCTACCTATAAAACTCTCACTTCTCCATTTTTTTTTCTTTATGCCTTTATGGCTGGACCAACACCTGTCGGGGTCAGGGAGAACCCCTCTTCCAACGTTTGCCTTCCTGATCCAGAATCTTCGAGAAACCCTTTTAAATAAATAGAGGTAACACCCTGGAAACCTCTTCGTTTCTCCAGGGTCTCCTCGGCGTTCCCCTTCTCATCTGCCCCACGTCGGCAACGCAGCCTGGGGGTCCGGCGGGCCTGGGGTGCTCACCTCGAGGCGGGGACAAGACCGGAGCGAGGGCGCCGGACAGACGACCACCCCCGAACCCCGGCTCCCCGGGATGCGCGACCCTCGGCCCCTCCAGCCCCGCTCACCTTGTCGTTGTCCAGCCGGGTGTCCAGGATCTTACGCAGTTTCCGCGACAGCGGGTTGCTGGTCTGCGCCGAGGTCCCGCCGGCCCCATTATTGAGGCTGTTGGCAGACCCGGTCGCGGGCACTACGACTACTTCCCCGCTGCCCTCGGCCATAGCGCCTCGCGTCCCGCCCCCGGACAGGCGCCGGCCACCTCAGCCCAGGATCGGGACGCGCCAGTAGCCGCGTAGCGCGCATGCCCGCACAGGCCGCGCCTGCGCCCTCGGACGGCTGTGCCCCGCCCACCACTGTTCAGCCTACCTCCTAGGAAGCTGGTGGGAGGGGTAGAGAAATCGAGGGAGGCGGAGCAAGACTTCAGGCTGGAAGGAGGAGACTCACGCGAGACTGCGTTTGCAAAGTGGACTGAAATTCAAATCAGGTGTAGAGCCGGGGTATTACGATTTATGGGATTAAAGAGATCTCGTAATCCTCAATCTGTGAAAGTCTGAGCTAGACTTACATACACTGAGACCTGTGCATGGGCAAATATGTTCAGTTAAAGCTAATTCTAGTTAAGTTCACTTAATACTGTGCAGCCGTTTTCCGCTGTGAAGGAGATTTAATTGTGGATGCGCGAAGAATTCCTAAATACTGTATGTGAAAAAAGCAAGGTACGTTGCAGTGTGTGTAGTGTGATCACCGTGTGTGTGTGTGTGTGTGTGTGTGTGTGTGTGAGAAATACCGGTACGTGTCAATTTGGGCTTTTTTTTCTTTTTTAGGATGGCATTCCTTTGGCAGACAGACTTGCACTTTTCATTTTGTACCTGTCCAAACAGACTGAAGTTTTCTAATCTCCCTTATGTGTTACCGAATATATTAACTGAGTACATTAAGGTAGGGGGCCCACTTTTCTGTGTTTATTTGTACTCTGAATTTGCAATTGTAATAAAAAGGAACAAGATAATTTGGAAATTAGAAATATAATAGGATGAAGACAGGAAAATTACTGTAAAATTTAAGGATGTTTAAAACAATTTATGTGCTTTTTAATATTCACCTATTATTCTTTTGTAAGGCTAACTGTAAATTTTAAGCTAAGGGTTGGAAATCAATACTTTTAAACAGTTTAATATTTTCCAGCAGTTAAAAACGAATATTCAGGTAAGCCTCATCAGAGATGTAGGTTTTATATATGTATTTATTAAATATGTGTATGTATAACATTTATATATAACAATTTTATTGAAGATAAAGTTTTTCTTTTAGTGAAAATGTAAAGGTATTTATATATATTAAACTCCTTACGATAATAGACACTGAAAGAATTAGAGACAAGCTCTGACCTAAATATTTTAATTTAGTGAGAGAACAAAGACTTATGTGTAAAAGAGTAAAGCATTTTTATATAACCGCAGAAGAACCATGCTGAAGTGTAAAATGCGGACATTCTTACCTTCCAAGTAGCAGTTGAAAGGAGAGCCTCATCAATTTCCCCTTCTCCCCCTTTGGTTTTTTATTAAAGCTTTCCTGCTCTTTAGTGTCTGAAATAGGTGGAAGTCACACCATATTGCTCACTGTGGCTTTATCAAAATGTAATATGGCATTTATTAAAGCCATATCTGGTGAATCATAGAACAAAATAGGATATTCAATCCTCTATATTCTTCCGTCTATTAAAAGCAACAAGTGCGTTTTCAGCCGTGTCCAACTCTCTGCAGCCCTAAGGACTGTAGCCCTCCAGGTTCCTCTGTCCATGGGATTTCCCAACCAAGAATACTAGAGCGGGTTGCCATATTCTTCTCCAGGGGATCTTCCCGACCTAGGGTTCAAGTCCGTGTCTCCTGCGGCTCCTGCATTGACAGGTGGGTCCTTTACCTCTGAGCCACCTGGAAAGTGGATAAAAAACCACAGCTTCTATTATTTAGCATCCAAATGATTGAGAATCAGTCTCAGTGCTAGATCCCTTTAATGCACTGTTCTCTGTGCCTATTCTGCAACATCAGAATCATTACCATGTTATCATGTCATTAGTATTTTATGATGAGTAAATGAGTAAGTAACCCAAGGTTATAGAATCCTTCCCAAGGATATGAGGCTAACATCACGCTACGTACTGCTTCCTCAGTTTTTGCTTTGAGTTGTGTACACCTCTCACTTGGAATGTAGGCAAAAACTTTAGCAGCTAAACTTTTAAGTGTGTTCTGTGTTTGCATTGCCTGTTCTTACTACTTTTGCATTGACACCAGGATCATTTTTCTAAAGCAAATTTGGTCCTATCACTTTGTGGCTTTAAAAACCATAGTGGCAGTTATTGAATAAAGTAAATTTTTAGTATGGTGTACATAGACCTTCATAATGAGATCTCAGAGTATCCCTCTCATTTTATTTCTAGGCACTTGCTTGTGGTTACCATGCTCAAACCACCTCTATTTTCTGGGCCACAAACATCACAAGTTTCTAAGTCTCCATACCTTGGTTCATACAACTCACTCTCCCAGAAATGTCTGCTCCTGTGAAACTGGTGAGATCCTATTTGTCCTTCTGACTCCACTCAAATATCACTTCTCTGTACCTTCACATAGCTCCCCATCTGTCCTTGGGCAGAGTTAATTGATGTGTCATGCAAATTCCATAGCAGATAATATACAGCATCTCTCTAACATCTGTCATTTAATTATTTTTAAATTTAAGTGTTTGTTGTTCCTCCACTAGACTCTCAAGTACTTGGATGATGGGAATCTTTGCCTTCCTAGTCTTTAGCATAGTATCTTACACAGTATATGTGTTTATTAAAGGCTTATTGAGTGAAAAGTATTGAAATGAGGTTTTATGGTTTTATAAGTTATAGAGTTCTTTTTATTTGTTTTATTGAAATCCCAGGTGGTGCCGGTGGTAAAGAACCCACCTGCCAAAGCAGGAGACATAGAACCAAGCATTCAGTCCCTGGGTTGGGAAGATCCCCTGGAGGAGGACATGGCTGCCTCAGTGTTCTTGCCTGGAGAATCCCGTGGACAGAGGAGCCTGGAGGACCACAGTGCCTAGGGTCGCAAAGAGTCAGACACGACTGAAGAACATAGCATGCGTGCACATCGTTGATTTGCAATGTCGTGTTAGTTTCCACTATACAGCAGAGTATATGTGTGTGTGGTGGGGGGGGGTGCATAATACAAATTTTTCTCACATTCTTTTCCATTATAAGTTATTACAAGATATTGAATATAGTTCCTTGTGTTATACAATGGTGGTTTAGTCATTAAGTCGTATCCGACTCTTGCAACCCCATGAACTGTAGCCCACCAGGCTCTTCTGATCAAAGCAAGAATACTGAAGTGGGTTGCCATTTCCTTCTCCAGGAATGCTATACAGTAGGACCTTATTGTTTATCTATTTTGCATATAGCAGTATATACCTGTTAATCCCAAGATACTACTTTATCCTTCCCCCTTTCCCCTTTGATAACATGGAATTTAACATGTTTTCTATGTCTGCAAGTCTGTTTCTGTTTTATAAATTAGTTTGTATCTTTATGATATTTGATATTTGTCTTTTTCTGGCTGACTTACTTCACTTAGTATGATATTCTTTAAGTCCATCCATGTTGCTGCAAATGGCACTATTTCCATCTTTTTTATGGCTGAGTAATATTCCATTGTATAAATAGACCACATCTTTCTCCATTCATCTGTTGATGGACATTTAGGTTGCTTCTATGTTTTGTCTATTGCAAATAGTGCTGCTATGAATATTGGGATGCATGCGTCTTTTCAAATTAGAGTTTTCATCTTTTCTAGATATATGCCCAGGAGTGGGATTGTTGGATCATACAAAAATAAACTCACAATGACTTAAAATATAAGACATGAAACTGTAAAACTCATAAAAGAGAATATAGGCAAAAATGCTCTAACATAAATCATTGCAATGTTTTCTTAGTCTCCCAAGACAAAAGAAATAAAAGTAAAAATAAACAAATGAGGCTTAATCAAATTTATAAACTTTGGCACAGCAAAGGAAACCATGAACAAAATGAAAAGACAACCTACAGAATGGGAGAAAATATTTGCAAACAGTGCAGTCTACAAGGGCTTAATGCCTGAAGTATACCAACAACTCATACAGCTTAGTATAAAAAACAAAAACATGAACACCCCCAAGCAGAAAATGGGCAGAAGACCTAAAGAGACATTTCTCCAAAGAAGACATACAGATGGGCAACAGGCACTCGAAAAGGTGATCAGCATCACTAATTATTTTAAAAAAATGTAAATCAAAACTACCAAGAGGTATTACCTCACACAGGTCAGAATGGCCATCTTCAAAAATTCTACAATCATTAAATGCTGGAGAGGGTGTGGAGGAAAGGGAACCCTCCAACAGTCCCAGTGGGACCACAGGGGTATCACTGCTGAAGCCTGGATTGACAGGTCACTTTCCCAACTGACCCTGGGTGGAGGCTGCCTCTGCAGCACGTTGTGTCTCTGGAGACTGTTGTTTAAACTGCTGTCACCTGAAAAGTTCCCCCTGTGTCTACTTTTCGTGTCACTTTCTCTTGATTCCCTGAAGTACCAGTTTCTGTGTGTCCACGGATGGTGTTCCTACATTTAGGTGTCCAGTTAGTCGAACCTAAAATACATGTCCACGCTCTAGTTTCTAGAAAAGCTGAGAAATAGAGTCCGAATGTTACTTTCATTTTTAGTTATTTCCATTTCTCTGCAAAAGTCTTTGTAATGTACTGTCTCTCTCCTGTTATTTCTCTCAAGGACTTTGAAGCATCGATCCCACGTTTCTTATCTGTCTGTAATCACAGCTCCCTGAACCTTGTCTTTGGACCTTCTATTCTCTGCTTTGCTACCTAGAACTCAGTTTTTAGGCATTGAGGGTCCTCACATGGAAATAACTCTTGTTATCTCTCTTTCCTCTGAAACCTCATGAATTTTGAAGCTGCTTCCAATTTTTCATTTTCTTTTTTTTTTTTTTATTTCAGACATATTTTCTGCCATAGTCGTCATCCTTCAGTTTGTCCTTAAAATTCTCCAATTTTAAGGTTTCATAACTGAAACCTTCACAGTCATGAATGTGATGATTTCAGACCTTTTTAGGATAAAATGATTTCATATCTTCTTCAAATGAAATCTGCAGAATGAATAACAGTATGGCTGGTCTGGTGGAGCCTGGGTAAGGCCCAAAGCCTTTCTTTGCTAAAGAAATAAAGAAAGTGAAGTCACTCAAGTTGCATCCAACTATGTGACCCCATGGACCATAGCCCGCCAAGCTCCTCTGTCCATGGAATTTTCCAGGCAAGAATATTGAAGTGATTGCCATTCCCTTCTCTAGTTTCTTTGCTAGGTACACTTTGTGTGTGTGTGTGTGTGTGTGTGTGTGTGTGTGTGTGTGAGTGATCTGTGTAGCCTCCCTTCGCTGCCTGTACCAGTTGGAGTTTGGGTTTGTGAAGTAACGGTAATTTACTGGAAGGGTGGGAAAGGGAAAGTGAAAGTCACTCAGTGGTGTCCAACTCTTTGCTACCCCTTGGACTATACAGTCCATGGAATTCTCTAGGCCAGAATACCAGAGTGGGTAGCCGGTCCCTTCTCCAGGGGATCTTCCCAACCCAGGAATCAAACCCAGGTCTCCCACATTGCAGGCGGATTCTTTACCAGCTGAGCCACCAGGGAAGCCCCGAAGGGTGGGAAGTCAGCTCAGAGAACTGACGGGAGCCAGCTGGGAACCAGCAGCGACTCGGGATCCCAGTAGCTGGAAACACGGGCCAGTTTGTAGGGCACTGCCACTAATCCTTTTTTCTGCCTTTGCTCAACATTCAAAGTCCTGAAGTGACTCCACTTTGACCACGTGCCCATCCATTAGTCAGGACACCATGATTTATGATTTAATGTGTTACTGAACCAGACTTGGTCCGCTTGGCCAAAGAGCAGCAAAGCCAATTTACCGACCCCAGGCTGTAGTGAAGCAAAGTGCAGCATTTCCTGCAAGGGGCCAAGTGAGGGGTGAAGCAAGGAAAACATGCAACTCATGCTCAAAAGACCCGAGCTCCCCCTTTGTTCTCAGGGAAGGGTTTTTAAAGACTGAGGGAGAGAGTCCCAGGACATGTGTTCAGCTTGTGCAGAAGTCTCTGATTGGTTGATGGTGAGGTAACAGAGTGATGTTTCAGGAATCTTAGTCATCAGCCTTCCAACTGGTCTGGGGTCTGTGTGCTGATAGTCAGCACGTGATTAACATCTTCCACCTGCTGGGAGTTTTAGTATTAATACCTGTAAAACAACTCAAGGATATAGCTCAGGATATTATCTATAGCCTATGAGGAAGAGCTGAAGGTTCTTGATTTTGCTTATGGCTAGACTGTTATGATTTTGTCTTGTTTAACTGTTTTCCTTGATTTTTGCTTTTTTTTTTTTTTTCACTTCTCTGATTAAATTTGCTCTTTGGAACTCTGGGAAGGTCTAGGAGGCTAAAGTTTTTTACAAACAAGAGGCCGGGGCCATGAAGGTGTCTGTCTCTGGGAAGACCCAACAGGGTCCTGCTTGGTTTCAAACCCAGGAGCACACAGTACTGGAGAGGTAATTCTGGTCAATACAATCACTATAAATTTGTGGTCTGTGGGACACATTAGGAAATAACCTATATTAAAAAGGTGCAAATTTCAATGAGATAGTAAAAAGTTTAATTACAACCCCAGCACATGGGATAAAAGGGGCTGCCATGCAAACTTTAATTAGCTTTGAGCAGACAGATTAATTGTGACCCAGTGAGGTGGGTATGAGATGTTGTACACGGAAATGAGACAATTATATTTATGATGGGGTTATAATACAAGTTGTGTCAGAAATTATAGTAAAAATAAAATGGCTTATAAGTAGCCAGATGAAACTTTCTGAACAGGATTGGCATATTAACAGGCAACTTAGGTAGAATTATTCTGGAAATTGCCATTAGGTTCCAGGTCTCTGTCTAGAATCTCTAACCACAGCCTGAAATTTTTTGAGTCAAGAGATGATAAATGACTTAGCAACTGCAGGAAGATATAAAAATAAGTATAGAGAAAATAATGATAAAATCAAATCCTTGGAATCATTATTTTTGTACCAATTTGGGATGTTAAGGGCAAATCTTGGTGACCCCAACTGCAGAGAATAAATGAAAAAGAAAATAGAAAATTTGAACAGTGTATAATCATCTGAAAAATACAGGCTATTTTGTTTTTAAATCTGACATCTTAAACTTGTAATTTCAACCTGAAGATTGTGTGTGTGTGATTGTAATTTTAAAAGGTATAATAGTATTTAATAAGTTTTTAACAACATTTACAAGTTTAAGTAAATCCAAATCATCAGATCTTTAATATTAGGCTTTTAAGTATCATTTAAATACTTAAGAATATTTTGTTTTAGATTTGTACTTCTACCTGCTTATCTATTTGAAGTACACTAGAAAAACAGATATATAAGCCATTTTAAGTTGAAAAGTTTTAGATAATTAAATTGATCACAAAATTTTTAATATT